GGAAACAAGAAGATGGTAAAAAGACTGGTTCTTATTTGCTATTTTACTCAAGCACTCACAGTGCTTTATACAACTTGCTCTACTCATCCAAACACTATTTTCTACACTTAAATGCTTTTTATTTAACATTCACACTCCAATGAGCACATTGGAGAACAATTTGGGGTTCGGTATCTTGCCCAAGAATACTTAAGCATGCAGACTTGAGCAGCCAGTAGTCGAACAACCAACCTTAGTAGATACCCGCTCCACCTCCTAAGCTACAACCACCCACAGGTGGATGCATTTTTATCCATTACTTTTTGGAAAACTTTCCTATTTCTTTCAATTCTCCCATTTATTTTTTTGTTTGTTTTTGATCTTTGTTGTTATCATTTATAACAAAATGCCTGCATCAGTATAGTCTTGGTAATTCTAGGTTTTATAGCACTTTAAAGCCTGAATCATTAAATGATTGCTTATTTTCTTATTCTTATTTTCTAAAAATGGAGAGTTTATCGAACCATCAGATGAATTTGTTTTAAAAATTAATAACATTTTCCATCCATCCATCCATCTTCTTCCGCTTTATCCGGGGCCGAGTCGCAGGGGCAGCAGCCTAAGCAGAGAAGCCAAGACCTCCCTCTCCCCAGCCACCTCCTCCAGCTTATCCGGGGGAACACCAAGGCGTTCCCAGGCCAGCCGAGAGATATAATCTCTCCAGTGTGTCCTCGGTCTGCCCCTTGTCAGATGCCCAAACCACCTCAACTGGCTCCTTTTGATGTGGAGGAGCAGCGGCTCTACTCTGAGCCCCCTCCCCTCCCTTCTCCCATCACTCGCGAACAAGACCCCGAGATACTTGAACTCCTCCACTTGGGGCAGGAACTCATCCCTGACCCGGAGTGGGCACTCCACCCTTTTCCGGCTGAGAACCATGGCCTGCTGATCCTCATTCCCGCTGCTTCACACTCGGCTGCGAACCGTTCCAGTGCGAGCTGGAGGCCCTCACCCGATGAAGCCAACAGAACCACATCATCTGCAAAAAGCAGAGATGAGATTCTGAGGCCACCAAAGCGAAAGCCCTCCGCCACTTGGCTGCGCCTAGAAATCCTGTCCATAATAATTATGAACAGAAACGGTGACAAGGGGCAGCCCTGGCGGAGCCCATCACCCACTGGGAACGAGTCCGACTTATTGCCGGCAATGCGAACCAAGCTCTTGCAACGGTTGTATAGGGATCGAATGGCCCATAGCAATGGGCCAGACACCCGATACTCCCGTAGCACCTCCCACAGGACACCCTGAGGGACACGGTCGAATGCCTTCTCCAAGTCCACAAAACACATGTAGACTGGTTGGGCAAACTCCCATGCACCCTCAAGTATCCTGGGGAGGATAAAGAGCTGGTCCAGTGTTCCGCGACCAGGACGAAAACCGCATTGTTCCTCCTGTATCTGAGGTTCGACTAGCGGACAAACTCTCCTTTCCAGCACCCTGGCATAGACTTTCCCAGGGAGGCTGAGGAGTGTGATCCCCCTGTAGTTGGAACACACCCTCTGGTCCCCCTTCTTAAAGATGGGGACCACCACCCCAGTCTGCCAGTCCAGGGGTACTGCCCCTGATCTCCACGCAACATTGCAGAGGCGTGTCAACCAGGACAGCCCTATAACGTCCAGAGCCTTCAGGAACTCGGGGCGGACCTCATCCACACCAGGGGCTCTGCCACCAAGGACGTAACATTTTAATTTCCATATAAAAATTTTAATTTGTATCATATTTGCTACATCCGCCATTTTTAAAAATTGCTTAAAATGTATTGTGAAATTTAATTTGGTTTTTCAGGGGAGAAAAACACACAGCTCATGCAGAAAACTGTGAATATCAAATATGATACACCAGGCATTAAGGGGATACCCATTTCCACTTTAACAGGCTTTTTGGTTTGCACTTCATGTGCTGGACTCTCTACTCTGGGCATACTCACACTTGGCTGTCTGTAGGGTAACTAAATATGCTTAAACTAGACTTTGGTTGTGCTAGAGCACATTTCAAAAGTGTGTGTGTGTCAGTGAAGGAGCGGTAGAGTAAGCAGGAGAGAGTTGAGTTGAGATGCCGAGGCATCAACACTGTGTAATACCAAATTCTGTGAGCAATAACCCGTACTGTATTATACATAACACTATTTATTTACATATTTACTTTTTTACACCGGATTATATATCTGTACATGATGTACATGATGTTTGCATTGAGTTGGAGATGCTCTGTATCTCATTGTACAACTGTATAGTGACAATAAAGACATTCTATTCTATTCTATTCTATTCTATTCTATTCTATTCCACCACTTCCTCACTTTAGTACAGCAAGATCACTCCTTTCACCAGTTGTATGCATGCATGTAGAATGTTATCACAAGTGGGCCTGAAATGTTATTGCACCTTCACAGAGAGCCTATAGTAAGTTGAAGACATCCAGGTACCCTGCTCAAGGGAGGTGATCGGTGGTCGTAACTTTTCTTAGAGTGGGAGGGGGTCAAGGATGGGCTGGACTGAAGGTGTAGGGATACGTGATGTGCTGTGGAATGTTCTTTGTTTGAATGTCTGTGTGGGTATATAAGATGTGACGGTGGTGGCCAAATTTCAGAGATGATCCCAGTGCTTGGCTGGGATGTTTCTCTCTACATTGCAATATGTTTATTAAACCCACTTCAAATTACAATCACTGGGTGTGTTGCAGGTGGTTGTCATAATTTCCATAACAGTACATAATCACGGTCTTTGATAGTTTTTGGAAAATAACATGACTTTTGTGGAAGCTGCGGAGAAAAGATTCTCATGCAGGAAAAGGTATCATACTGTAATACAAGAAAAATCCTTTGCTTGTCTCCAAACTCGTAAAAAAAGGACAAGCTCTGGGTCTCATTAGAAAGCCTACGTATTATATTGTTTTCAAAGTATCAGTAATCAGTCAAATATGCAAAGTCTGTTTACTTGTCAGATATGGGCCTCATTTTCTCTTTAAAGTGTTGAATTCAATAGTTAATCCCGCTGTGATGCTGTGCTCTGTCCTGCACTTTGTGAAAACTCTTTTTGCAAATTTTTTGTGGAAAAAAGATGTAAGATCTTTATATTCTCTATCAGACTGTGTTCGCCTTTTGACTCAACAGGACCAACTATACTTGCTCTGATAAACAATTCTCTTGCATCTGGTTGTATTCCAGCTGCCTTTAAACATGTTGTTTTGCAATCACTTATTAAAAAGAAGAACCTAGACCCTGCTGATCTTTCAAACTACAGACCTATATCTAAATTATCATTTCTGTCTAAGGTTCTTGAAAAAGTTGTTTTAAACCAAATAAATTAATTTTCAAGCTTACAGGTTCTAGATCATATCATAGCACAGAACAGAGACTGCTTGTTTTGAGAGTTTTTAATGATCTTCTTTAAATCGTTTACTCTACTAGCCCTGCAGTTCTAGTGCTTCTGTCTGTCAGCTGCCTTTGAGACTGTGGACCACAAGATCCTTCTGTTTCATCTAGAACACGAAGGTGGAATCCAAGGCACAGTTCAGACTTGGTTCAAATCATACCTGACGAACAGAAGTTTCTCTGCACTTCTACAACAGCACCACTCACTTGTGGAGTGACTCAAAGGTCCATTCTGGGCCCACTTCTTTTCATTGTATAACTTGCCTCTAGGTTCTATCTTTAGAAAACAAAGTATTTCTTTCCACTGCTTTGATCTTGACCTCCGGGTGTGTATGCTCATTCAGCTGAACAGCAGAGATCCATGGAGACCTCTGTTAAACTGTCTTAGCAACATCAAGTCAGTCATCTAACCAGATGCTTTTACGCAAACCTAAAACCAGATTAAAACAGAGAAGTGGTTAATAGCAATACATAAATGGAATAATGCATATATCCATGGATCTATCTGCACAGGTAGGACATTTACATTTTTATTAAAAAATAAAATTATACTTAAAAACACATTTTTCTCCTTATTTTTTGGCACCAGTGTGACATCCTTTATAGACTATAATTTTATTTATTTTTATTTAAAAAAAGTATTGAGATGATTTGTTGTGAGATATTGTGAGTTGAGTTATTGTACAATTCTGTTCTTTAAATGTTTGACAACTTAATAAATAATTCATTTATTCTAAACAATTTATTCTTATTTCTTTAGCTGAATACATGTAAATGCCAAGACAAGACAGTTTGACAGGTACAAAATATAATTTTTTGATGTTTTTTTTGTATCCATGCATCTGTAACACCTGGTGTATAAGGGATAATTAATTTCACCATAATAACATCTAATTTGTAAAGATGAAATATAATTATTTTTGATATTTCCAAATTATGATGTTTACAATATCAATCTTATATTACTAAATTGACACTTAACTATTGACACATTAACTTATGAAGTCAAGTTTACTGTATTTATGGACTATATCAAAGTTTAATGTCGGCTAAATCTACTCAAGTAATGGGATTTCAAGCCAGGTGAATTAGTTGAGCCTACAAATTCACCTCTTTTCCGAATGTCATTTTTTGCGTTTTTGTTAGGTGCACATCATATACGTGTATAGGTAAAAAAGTAAGTATCCAACCACAGTGAAAGTTGTGAAACCTTCTTTACTGTGGGAATGATATTTGATTAACTATATTCTTAAATACAAATTTACTCAAAGGGGGCGGACCATGTTTGGTTGAGGAGTGCAGTATAGCACACTTATTTTAAGACAGTCGATGGTTGACGTAATCATTCATAGATGTAAATTAATTTTCCTGTTTATAAACATACAATAAGCCCCATCCTTATCCTGTATTTTATTATTTTATGTTATTTCATTGTTGTCAGTGTGATTAGGTTAATCAGTTTGCGAACAGCACGAAAGGACCAAAGAATGTCGTAGCATCTACTAATATCCTGAAAAAACAACAACAAAAACCCCCCATACTCCTCCACATCCCCGGGCCATGTGCAGACTGGAAATGCTCTGCATCTCTGTGTGCGCGCCTTGATTAATTTTCCCACAATGCAACGGGGATCTGTCATGGCTGCTCACTGATTCCGCTTGCTCCACATGGGCAGAAATAAACATTTTATCACTGATTGAGACGCTCTGAATCGGCTCGTTAGCACAGCGCTTTATAGCTGGCTTTTATCTGGGACCGTCCTGACTGAAGGCAGCAGCTCCAGCTTGACTTTGGCAAGAACCAAATCCGTTCAGTCATGCCGCCGCTAGACGTGGAGATCGCAGCACTCCGAGGGTTTTTAACTGCCGGTGAAACAGCGGAATGGAAGCAGAACATTTTCAGTATTGCAGGTGAGGCAGCCGCTTGATTCTGCTCCTTTATTCACCACGTAGCTATTGACACTGTCATAACGAGGTTAGTTTTGTCTCAGGTTCTCAAAGCTGTCAGGTTGTGCTCGCCTGCCAAGCGAAGGCGCATTTAAAATGTAGAAGCATTTGACGGTAACAGCTCTGGTCAAGTCTTTAACGGTATTGACAGGACTTCCTGTGTTGTCTTAATAAAAGTGTTGAGTGCTAGAGCAACAGTCTAAATGAATTCATGTTCATGTAATGTCTGCTAAGCAAACTTAGCTACGGTACGTGTCATTCGCGCTCTGGTGGATGTCACACCAAATCCCGTTTATTTTTTTGGCAGTAAAAACTTGCATTGCTTGTGGGCAGCGGTAGCTATTGCGTCTTGTAATATTGTAAAGCGATTTAAAATGTGGTATGTAACTATGCTATTCGGCGTTAATCTTATACTGGGATTGATTTTCAGTAAATGATGAAGTCGATTTAAAAGAAATTAAACATTAGCTAACGTTAGCTTTAGTTCGCCCAGTTGTCCCAATGTTCACCGGAGACGTAGCTGGACGGAAACTAGATGGTTATGTTGAAAAGCTATGAACTACAGCTAGCGTGGTTGTTTTTTTTCCTGGTAGGTTTTATCATTAGAGTCTAGCATGACGTCTTCTGTCCATACACCTGCGTCCAGTCGACTCGAGCCGCATCTGTCAGCTGCGTTTAGAACCCTGAAACTAATCCACAACTGCCAGAAAGCCCCAATGGTAGACATCCTGTATTAAACAGTGCTGTCTGTTTAACTGGGGCTCTCTTTGTTACCAGCAGGCTTTAAATGGCCAGACTGCGAGATTCCTGCTGGATAACCCGTCTCTAGTGTGACTTCAGTACGGTTTGTTCCTAGACCACGTCTTATTTCTGCCGCAGTAATTGACAGTGCATTAGCATTTAATTAAACTGGAGAGATTTGTCAGTGGAGATATGAAAGAAACTTAAGGTAGGGACGAAAATTGCAGTCTTAAAGCACAATATTCAGCAACTAGCTGTAAATCTATTATCCAGTTCTTGGAAGACAATTTCTTATAAGAATGAAAGAGCCTTTCACTGTCAGTTTAAAGGTAACATGATAGTCATTTTTTTCTGTTGAAATAAATAAAATGGCCAGATTGAAATATTTAGGAAAGCATTAGCTTTGGACTGCATAGCAATAGTCAGACTTTACCCCAGATGCTCTGTTATACTGGAAGGCTGAGGCTGTAGAATAAAGTAGCCTAAAACAATGAAGGAAACGAGAGATGGCTCTTTATTACAGGGTCCCACTGTAGCCAGGTAAGTACTTAATGACCTGTACCTCATTTGATTTCGGTGTGACACGTTTTCTATGTTGACAATGAAACAGATATGTCTTTAAATTGGACACAGCTCACAGTGAGTGACACCACTGTTGTTCTCGGGCTGTAAATGGTTCGATGCGCTCTGCTAAGGTGCTCTATGTGCCAGGATGTGTGCAGGCATGGTCCATCTCTCTGACATCCACACTGTCTTCTTATGGGCTTTGTTGGTTGAGTGGCATGGTTAAGTGCTGTGATCTTTTGCAAGATCCCGAAACAGTCATACTGGTTTCTGTTTTATCCTTGAAAGAGATACTTTTTCTCTCTCCATTTAACGTCATCAGACACCTTTTCTTCATAGCTGGCTCTAGAGTTTTGTAGTTTGCTGCATCTAAGGTGCTCTACAGTACAAAGAATGAAAAGTCCTCTGTACACCATTGCATCTGTATGCAGTTTATTTTGGGTTTTTTCACACAAAAAAACATGGATGGAAAATCAGTAAATGTAGCTGAAAAACTGCATCAGTGCCACAAATTTGTTTGTCATGATCTTTATATGTTATCCAGGTATGAATACAAAAAAACAGTTTCCTTCCTGCACTGTCATTGCGAGATGTGTTCATGCTGTTGGTAAGAAAAGTCTGTCGATGGTTTCATGTGATGAATCACATTTGAAGATGTAATTAATTTGGTGCAAAAAACCGCAGGCACTGCTCTCTTTTTTTATTTGATGTGCTTCATTTGATGTACGTACTTGTACAGATGGACTTGTTAAAAATTTGTTCTTAAAAACTTGTTATTCGTATCGGATCGAGAGGTCTTTCTGTTTACCCGATCCACTGTTTTATTGTACAGGTATTCAGGTAACAGTTTTTTGTACTCTTACCTAAGTTTAACTGCCACTCTTTGATACTTTAAATTGAAACTGCATACTTTTATTCAACAACTACATTATCAGTTATGTTTAGTGTAAGTGCTGTTTGTAGTTACTTCATGTTTTCATTTGAGGTAATTTTTTTGATGAAATTTGATGTTTGAGAATAATGTATATTGTTATCATTTCAGTTTATTTTGGAAAGTCTCAACTAGGGCTGAACGATATATCGCATTTGCGATAATATCGCGACATGATCAAGTGCAATTTTCTAACCGCAAAGGCTGCGATTATACTCTGGACATGTCCAAATTCATGGGCTGCATCCTCCTGAGGCCGCATTTGTAGACCGATTACGTCACAGCGACGCGCCGAAGGCTGTCCAAATTACTACCATATCCCAGAATTCATAGCGCGGCCCAGCCAAACTCCAGTTTCCAGCAATGGCGGCCGCTACTAAGTTTTAAAATTACTCATACTAATCTTTCTGGGTCACAAAATAAACTTTTAACATATTTTCAGGCGAGAAAGTAGTTGTGTAAACATCAAATATCTGCTCGGTTTATCAAGATATCCCATATTTGCAAAAGTGCTTCGACGTTTTCAGAGGCGTCTGCTACCCACCAGCTCGACAGCTAGCCGGGAGCTCGAGGGTTACTGATGCGGCCGAGAACGGCACAACTCCCGGCACATCATTTTCAGATCACCGCGGAGTTTCGCTGCTCGGGTTAAACGTAATATATAAGTCACTTAGACAACCTAAAAATGTTATTGTTGGGCTTTTTTCAGTGTTTTGTTTGTTCGTGAGTAAATCGGTTTGGCTGAGATTAAAGTTATTAGATTAGATAAAATAAAACTTTATTAATCCCCCGGGTGGGTTCCTCCTTGGTTTTCACACAGCTGACTAAACGTCAAACAGAAAACTTATTAAACAGAAGTATGAGACAGTCGAGAATTTACACCAGTGTCTGGTTATATTTTAGATAGCAAGAAGCAGACGGCCGAGTTTATTAAACTCCACCGAGACAGCGGTGACGCTAATCAGAACGACCGTCCAATTTCACGCCTTTAAACTTTAAAGGCGTGTTTGTGTGTGTGTTTATACAATTGCTATTATGTTTGCACTTTATGTGTAATGTTACTGACTGCAGAGATCAGTAAGATGTGTGTATTTTTTATTTATTAGTTTTATTTATTTAATATTATTTTTTAATTGAATGACTGTCTAGTAGTTCACAGATGTCGAAAAACTGAGTGTGGTAAAGCCACTGATTTTGTTTATGTATATTTCTGCAATCTGCACATTGTACTGACTTTCATTTTAATGTTTACACCAGGGTTCCTTGTCAGCACTTTATGCTCAGATGTTTGTAAGCTAAAAATAAACTATTGTGTATGTTCAAATATACTGTTGTGATTGAAGAAGTTAAATAAAAATGTCAGTCATCAATTCATGCATCACCTCATGTCATCATAACAGAGGTCTGTCTTCCAGGAAAGAACAGTTTAAAATTAATGTAATATAGTATTGGCCATACTATATGATATATTGCTTGTCTTTGTTTAATAATACAGAAGACAAAGACCTTAAAAAATAATCGCATATCGCATCGCAATCGCAATATTGGGGCAAAAAATCGCAATTAGATTATTTTCCATAATCGTTCAGCCCTAGTCTCAACAGGTTGTTGAGCTTTATTGTGAAAGGTTGATGCGGAAAATAAACAAGTGGACGGCGGAGCCACACAATGGTTTTAACGTCGTTGTTGCTAACAAACCGAACGTAAAACAGTCGCATGTCCGACCATAGTGTTATTATTTTTAATATAAGAGAAAGAGAGAACTATAAGAAGAAATGAACATAGCAGCTACATTTAGCTAACATGTTCATCTAACAGTTTAAGATGTTTGCCAAATAGTTTGCAACCTACAATACTGTGCATAAATCTTGAGCCACCCCTGATTTCTTTATAAACTTAGCACAAAAAGTAAGGAAATTTGTGTTTGGTTAATTATGTCTTTGTTGTAACAATGCTTCTTGGCAGTAAATCATATACTGCTGGAAACCCTGCGTGTTTCCCCGTAGTAAGGAAAATGCATGTGCAGCACAACTAAAAATGAAAAAATCAACTCTGCTAACTTAAGAAAAACTTGCCAATGTGAAATTGGCTACTCTGTTGGCTCATGTTTGGTGTCATTTATTGGTTTGGATGAATAAACAAGACCTATTGGCAATTAATCAGTTGCAAAACCATGTAAATCACAGTTCAACAAAAGAATGCTTAATACTAATACAGTGAATTTGAAATGAAAGCCTATACATATATGGTTTCATCTTTAATTCAAGGGGTTAAGCCAAAGTATTGTATTTTTAACAGTTTTATGCATCGTCCTCCATTCACAGGGTGATAAAATTAATTGGACAAAATAACATCATTTGAAAAATAACTTACTGCAAGATTTGGATAGCTCTAGCAGGCAGAAACTAAAGACTGCAGCCGTCTTTAGTTTCTGAGATTAGCTAACTGACTTGGCCAGTGAAGAATATCCCATTTCTTTGCCCTGAGAAACTCTAGGGTTGCTTTTGCAATATGTTCTGGTTCATTATCTATCTGCACTGTGAGGTGGCATCCAATCAGTTTTGCAGCAGTTGGCTAAATCTCATTAGAGAGCATAGCCCTTTGTACTTCAGAATTCATCCGGCTATCAACAGTCGTATCAGCAAGAAACACTACTGGCCTGGCTCCATTGGCAGACATACATGTCCATGCAATAACTTTGCCAGATGACAAATGGTAAGCTCTCCCTTCCCTTTTCCAAACTTGTGTAGCTACTCCATACTTTTCACCACTCTTGGTCAATCTTGGTTTCATCTGAAGCATTAGATTGTTTTTTATGTGAGAATTTATGGGAGTAAGTTAATTTGACACCGCTTGTGTCGAGCCAAATGAGATTGTTTGACTTTCTTGGCAGGTAATCTTTCATAAACCATTGTTCTTATATCCCCTGGACCTATTACCATGGAAGTGTTGTGGCAAGATTTATGATGAACTGACATCTTCTTCTGCATTATTTCCCAAAAGTGTGTCGTATCAGAGGTGGTGTAGGGTGTAGATGATCGTAGAACATAACACTCAGAATTAAAGCCAGGCTAATGCAGCTGATTGAGCTTTTATGCAGATTATCGAAGCTGTATGGACAGCCCTGCTTCAAGAAAGACAAGCAGCCCGTGACTGTGTGCATTTTTTAGTGTTTCACAGAGAAATTGGGGTTCCCATGTGAGCTATTCCTGATCTTTCATCTTGAATCTATATGGCTTCTCAGCCCTGTACGCTTTTGCAAATTCTATTCACCATTTCCTTATTAACTGCAGCTCAATGCCTGAACATTTATGAATTATGGACTAATTTGAGGGCCCCTGCCTTGTTTTCCATAATTGCTGCCATTTCAACAGTAGACCTGAAGAGTAGTTGAAATGTCATTAAACATGTGGCCATACCTCAGGCTTTCATTTTCCCCTCATAAAGCCAGAGCCTTCCTCCTCCCGTCTTCTCCCTCCCACCTCACTGCGTTACTATGGCAGCCCCTGGGTTTCATTAGATCGGCAGTCAGATGAAAATCTCCACACCTCTTTTACAGCACCAGTCACACTGCAAGCATTTATTAAAGCCAAGTGGACAGTTGAGCGACCATGTGACTGACCTGTGGATGTGGGCATGTGGGATAGGCTCACACTCCTACATGAAAATAGTTTTCCATCTTTGACAAAACTATGGTGTTTGGATTCAAGGATGCGTGTCATTGGTAAGGGGGATGCATTGTCTTATTGTTTCTAACAGCTGTCTGGAAATCAACTAAGCAAACCTCTTTTGGATATAGAGATATTTTATTTATTTATTTTTAATTTAAAAAAGAAAAGAAAGAAAAATGGTTGTAGAGAGCAGTGAAGCTGGCACAGGTTCTCTGACATGACACGTCTGTTATTAGTGTTTAGGTTATTTGTTGTCCACACCTGGTTTGTGATGGAGACAATCTTGTCTGTTTCTCAACTTGGCCAGGCTTTGTTATGCAGCTCAGAGCACAATCTACTTCCTCCCCTCTATTCCCTCCACCAGGGTAACACAAAGTAATCAATGCTAATGAGCCAAGCCAGTCTCCCCGCTCAAATAAAAAGCTAATGAAAGACGGGGAGATGTTGAACGGAGCACTCGGGCAACACAATTATTTCTTGTTGGCAAGCGGTGGCCCAGCAGCTGCCCTCTGTCTTTCAATAAATCGACATTTCTCATCATCTCGGTATCAGCCTTTTCAGCATGTCCTCTTTATCTCACAAGTGTACGGTGGTTTTGGAGCATGAGCAAGGTAAATACACACTGTATGCAGTATAGGTAGGGGATTGTTTATAGCAGAATAAGGCTACAGTGGAAATAAGTGCATTAGCACCACTGATGTCAACTTGGGCTTGGTCATTGTTTCAACATCAAACTTTGTCCCTGTTTACATTGTTATACAGCTAGATTTTGCAAAGCAAAGCTTTCTTGTTCTTTTAAGGGGTTTAAAGAAAAGACTCATTATAGAGAGCACAATGTGTTTGGTGCCACAGTGCAGTCAGATCACAGTTCTGATTGCAAAAGCTGCCAGACCAGACAGGATTTAAAAACAAAAAATCAGACCAATCGATTCAGCTTTACACACAAACTTAAACTACACTTTCTTTGTAGCAATTGTTTTTTTGTTTTTTGCATTTGGGTATAGCAGATCTACATAGTTTTGTTTCTGTCATTTATGTTAAGTACAGTGAATTTGTGTGTCATGAAATGCAACTCATAAATAAAATTGCCATTGCATAAAAGGTGTTACCTGTTTCTTTGTTTGCTGCAAAAGAAGTCAAACAGTGTTTGACATCATCTGACAGCTTGACAACTGCAAGTATTAACTCATTCACTGCCAGCCATTGGCAGTGAATGAGTTAAACCCATTGACTCATTCACTGCAATTGACGGCTATAGACGTCAATGGCAGTGAATGAGTTAATATCAGTACCGGCCTAAAAAAAAAACCTCTTATACGTTGGAATATCCTTTTGACCAGTGAGTGTCCAAGGCATTGATCTTTCAGGTCTAACCAGTTACCAAAGGCTGGCGTGATGGTTTAGAGTTCAACACCACATAGCAAATTGCCAGAACCACAATGGAGCTTCTTCAGCAGAAGTTTGCAACGGACTCCGTCAAAACACGGACTCAGCGCCACAGAACACTGATGGAAAGACCCGAAGATGGCAGTTCAGATGTTTTACAGACATCTGAAACTCTAGAACTGCAATTACTGCTAAAGACTTGTTCTAGCGCGCGCGCGCGCGCACACACACACACACACACACACACACACACACACACACACACACACGCACACACACACACACACACACACACACACTCCTTTTTTGCCTGTCTATGATTGCACCAGTCACTAGGCTTTTTTTGTAAACATTGAAACAATGTAATTGTTATGAGATGGTCAATCCTGTGTTGGTATAATGTTCTTTGGTCCTTGGGGTATGAGGGTTTTCCGTATGAGTGCAAATGAGTCTTTTCTAGACTAAGAAGCAGCGACACTAAACATGTTCTTTTCTTTTGGCAGTAAACAAAAGTCTGTTCTTATTCACAACATGCCGTATTAAAGCAATGTATGATATTTCCTGGCAATATTGGGATCGTCATTCATGTACTTGATCCAAATTTCCTTAACTGCAGTACACAGCATTATTTTTTTTTAGTTACAGAAACCAAACGGTAAACTTCACTTCTCCAAACATTGTCTTCCAGAGGCAGGCCCTCTGCTGGAGTCCCTTATGGAAGGGGACTTTGAAGCAGTTCTGCTGAGCACGGGAGTGACAGATCTGCTCAACGGACATGGCGACTACCACGAAGGGGAGAACATCGAGTCCTACCTGGAGAGACGTTTACTACTGTACCTGACCGATGGCACCAATGATAACCAGACCAGCAGGTACTATTAGGGCTGGGTCACTTGATGTCTATAACCGATTCAATTCTGATTCACAAGGTCCTGATTCAATTCGATCTCCAAGTGGAATTCAATTTTGACTCAGTCAGAAATATTATAATTCTAATCGTTTATCAGTACATATCCATCCATCCATTCGCTTCCGCTTATCCTTTTCAGGGTCGCGGGGGGTGCTGGAGCCTATCCCAGCTGTCATGGGGCGAGAGGCGGGGCACACCCTGGACAGGTTGCCAGTCTGTCGCAGGGTTAACACACAGGGACAGACAACCATTCGCACTCACATTCACTCCCGCATTCACACCTATGGGCAATTTAGATTTGTCAATTAACCTATCCCCACAAAGTCATATCCATCATTTAAAAAACCCCAGCAGTGAACACAGACTGGTGCATAATAAGTGAACGAATAATACAGAAAACAGATTTTTGATGGCAAACTGGTCTTGAAGTACACTGAGCGAGAGAGCACTGTGCAGGAAGTGTGATTTTTAACCGTGATGGATGCAAAACAGCAAAAGTAAGAGAGAATTCATGACATGTTTTTCAAATGGGAAGCGTAGTTTTGATCTTCTTTTGCTGCTGGTTCAGCAAATTCTGGTCCGAGTGACAAAACCTGCAGCTTCAGAATCTTTGAGTTGTCGGCTTTCAGCACTGTCCGTGTATGTGCAGCTGGGTCGTGCTTTGTGTTTGCATCTTTGATCGGAATCCATTGACCTGCTTTTTCAGTTGTTTGGTGTTTTAACTCTTTGGCAGTTTTTGAAATGTTTCATGACCTTTAAACTGAGATTCTGGCGTTTCTGGCAAAATATATTTATATTTAAAATCGATTCAACATTTAGTATTGCATTATTCAAACTAAAATCGATTTGAATCGGAAAATTGCTATTGTGTATTACTGGCATTTTGCAAACTTTATTGATGCATGCTCAATTATCCAGGTAAGGAAATCGCAGATTGTGTTGATCTGGACGTTGATAAACATTTCGTCACTCACCCAAGTGACTTCTTGGATTCCATGTGAAATCCACACACCACATGGCTGGATTTTATTTCACTGGGAATAGTATGACTTATGTGAATCTCATAGACTTTTCTAAACTCTATGGCTATGCCAACCAAAATAATAATTAAATAATTCAATTATTTGCATTTATAAATATCAGTATTTGCAAAAACTACTGTAAATTACTACTGTGGGGCTTTTAAAGACCTTTCCCATTTAATCTGGCTGATATGGTTCATGCTAAATTAGATGTAGAGTTTAAGGGGAGTTGCACAACAGTAGTGAGCCAAGCTCCCTTCAGTCATTCATTTCTACATGAATCACTTAACAGCAAATATACTGTGCTGGTAATATGTGTTTAGCATATATCTGGTCTGGGTGGCTTTTGTTTGAGCTGCACTAAAAATAAATTAAGATGATGCATGTTAACTTCAGTTATTTTTTACATTTGCTGTAAATTCAGCAAAGTACAAAAACTGAGTTTTGTTCATAAAGACAAACACTATCACCTGTTTTTACAGGTGAGCCTTTTGTGGCTGTTACCTAATCTTCCTACATCCGAGTATACTCATGTCAAGAACTAGACTTTCAGGGCACAGTCGCACTAGGCACAGCTACTTTAAACCACATATTAACACTTTCCTATTTTGACAAAGTAATTAAGTTGTGGTTCTTCTATTTTTAATGCTAATATTAAAAAGCCTGCCCTTTCCTTGTAAGCAATGGGTACCAGGGAAAATCTGTTTCTATTACCTTGCAGTATTAATGTGTCAATCAAGCCTGAGCACCAACATGGCAGCTTAGAGCTTGAAGAGTCAACGAGTATCTCTGTTGTTACTTTTGTAAACTAAAAAAGTGAGTTTTCTGAATTGAGGACACCAAGATGTCCATGGTGGCCCAGAGATGGACAGTGTACATCATTGTTTCTTTCTCTCCATTCACCCCCAATATTCCTTTTGGCATGAAATATTAATTCTTTAATAAGTTCAGGTTAACATCTCTCACTTCTCATTCTCAGGGCAGAACTGTACGTGAGTAAATGTTGAATCCAGCTCTCGTTCCTTCTCGTCCTCCTTCACCCCTCATAATTTTTTGTCTCTTCCATCACCCTCCATCATTTTCTCATCCTAATTGAAATGCAGCAAAACATGTCGATGGTTGTCCCTTCCATTGCCAGAGTTACTGGCTGTAGTCTGTTTTTTCCTAAAGACCTGAGTGAGCATCTCTCAAAAAAAGTTCACTTGTTTTTCCTCACTTCTGAAAAGTATTGTTGAAAAATCTCTCTGCAATATTTCTGTGCAGTAAATCTGCTGTGTGTCTTGTCCTTCTGGCTGCAGGGAGTTGGCAGTTTTGGCCTTGGCTGTCTCATGTCTCCACATGTTTGCCCAGAGTAACTGGACCGGTCCTCCGGTCTCCTTCGATATCTGTGATCTGCTGACCCCAGCCCTGTTGTCATCTCAGGTATGATTTCTTCCTTCTCCTTCATCATCCTGTCCGTTCTGCAGTGATTTATAGGCTGGCGAAAATTTGAACCGACCTTTGTCAAGGTTTTGTTGATATTTTTTTTCCATGGGCTTATCAGTAAATGTCAACATATATTGGAATTAAGTCAGTTAGCTTAGAAGTTAAACGGTGAAACTGTAATAGAGGAAACTTGAATAGTCTTTTGGGAGAAGCAAAGGAGCTGAGTGTCAGCTAAACTGAAACAGATATGTGTGATTTTCTTCATGTTTGGGGATGCAGGTTGTTTGAGGTTGATTGACCTTGTTGATTGTATAAAGGTTATTGCATTATTGAATTTCAAAGCAGAATTTACACAGCAAAATCTCTGAAATGAAAAAAAAATGCTTTGGAGACAAAGTAAAGATGTGTAAATTTCAAGTCTGCCATACAGCATCACTGCTGTTTAACAGAAATCCTAAAGAACCAAATCAACTTAAGATTTGTGCTTTTGTATTAGAACACACACACACACACACACACACACACACACACACACACACACACACACAATCTATTGGATTCAGGTGTTCCAGTTGCTTCTACAGGTGTAAAAAATCAAGTACAAAGCAAACATTTGTGAAAGAATGGCACTTTCAGGATCTGAGTGAATTCCACCGGTAATGTGATAGGATGCTAAACTATCTGTTTAACATCTGTTTAATCTGTTTATCCGGTCAGCTCTGAGCAGTGGAAGAGCTATAATACTGCTAAGCATTTGGAAACGAAAACAACTTGGCCACAAAGTGGTAGGCCATGTAAAATCACAGAGCAGGGTCAGCAAACACTAAGGTGTATAATGTGCTGATGTCAGTCACTACAGGCCTTCATGTGGCCTTCAGATTAGCAGTGTAAAGAGCTTCGTGAAAGAGCTTCCATGGCCGAGCAGCTGCGTCCAAGCCTTGCATCACCTAGGCAGGTGGAGTGGTGTAATGCATGCCACCACTGGACTCTTCTTTGTCTGGCAATCTGATGGACGAGTCTGAGTTTGCCAGTTGCCAGGAGGAAAGTACTTGTGTGACTTCACTGTCAAAGTGTAAAGATTATAGGCTTGATTTTCAGGAGCTGAGCTCAGTCCTTCGGTTCCAGTGACAGGAACTGGAACTTAATGCTTCAACATACCAAGACATTTCAGACAATTTCATGTTTGTAAATTTGTGGGAACAGTTTGGTGGATGGCACCTTTGTGCTCCAACATTACCAGTGCACAAAGCTAGGTCCATAAAGACCTGATAGAGTCAGGATTTAGATTTGGGATGAATTGGAGCAGAAGCTGCGATCCAGGCCTTCTCGTTCATTTCCTGACCTTACATGTGCTTCTGGAAGAATGATCAAAAATTCCCATAAACGCACTCCCACACTTGCCAGAAAAGCTATAGCTGTTATAGCTGCAAAGAATGGGCTGAGATCATATTAAACTCTATCGAATAAGAATGCGATGTCACTCGAGTTCATATTGAAGTGAATACTTTTAGCAATATAGTGGAATTATGAGAGCAGACTTTTAATTGACTAAGTTATTATTTGAAGGAGTAAGGTACTTTAAATTACAATCTAAATAACATCCCAATTCCTACTGATTTGTAAGTTAGCATATTATAAAATATATCAAGGAATCATAGTCTTGTCAAAGTGGTCAAAGCTTCCTTTTAAGTTGGTGTATAAAGTGACCTGAATCGAGCAGAGCCAGACGGAGCTCTGTGGACTAGAGCTCAGTACTGAAGCATCTCTGGAGTCCTAATTACTTGGGTTTAGGAGATTGCTTCCCCCTGGCACTGCGATACTGTGAGCACAATAGAGCATTTCACCCTGCCATAACACCAGAAGAGAGGACCAATCCTTTTATCAAAGTAATTTCTTTGGTGTCAGTGATTTATCTCTGCTGTCACATGAAGGAGGCTGCGGTATGAAGCAGGTCACCCATACATGCGTGGCAGCATGCGTGAAAGGGAGGACAAACATGGCAGAGCCATAATCGTGTGGAATTAATTCTGATAAAAAAAATTAAAAAAAAAAAGAAGTTAAATGCACTTCTGAGTCCGATTAATGTAGATGATCTTTTTCAAATGAATTGTGACAACAAACAAACAAACTAGGGAGAAGGGTTAAAAAAACTCATCTAAAAATCCGTTTTAGTCATGGGCTGCTAGGACACTTGAATAGAACAACTCTTAATGTGATGGTAATAAACACACTGTTTTCCTACAAGTTTGAGCACCTGCTGTGAAATGAGTTTTTCTTGCACTGTTGTTGTGAAGGGGAGCCTGGATTTCATCTCTCATTCATGTTAGTGAGACGAGAGAGTGTGACGGAGAGGATGACACAATGAATTTAAGTAACTGAAATGATTCTGCATGTATGCTTGGCACAATCACCTGAGAAGAGAACATGCTGTAAAACTGGGAAACTTCAGTAAAAGCTGAACTCAGATCTAGCTAAACGATTTTGACAAAACATGTTGAAATGCCATCTAACTTAGTGTTTGCAGTATAGGCAGGTCCTTTTTGTGCCTTAATGTGCCTTAATGTGCCTTTAGGCTTCTAATCAACAAAGTTGATTTGCAGAGCTAGGCTGAAGCAGCAGCGGCGACTCAGCAATAGTAAGAAAGCAGTCCTAATGTCAGACCTTCATTTAAGTCAGCCATTTGTCAGTGTGAGGACTTAATCCTAATTTCCTGACTAGGAGCCTCAGATGCTGGTTGATGCCATCCACTCCAGCCTGCTCCTGGATGGGGAATCGGTGTATAGCCAGGTGGCCAACCCCTTTCTCCTACTGTTGGCCAGGGTAATTGTCACCAAATGCTTCCCCAAGATGGATAGGCTTCAGGTAAGTCAGTCTTTCTGTTACAATGATCGTAGAATTATCTGAACTTATGTATTCATTATAAATATATGCATTATAATAATAATTTTCATTGATGTTTACTCGTGGCCTGCAGAATCTTTTTAAATCAATTTTACAAGTCATTGTGTTGTTTCCATACATAACGAATCCATCCAAAAATATATGCTTGATGACACAATCTACACCAGAGATGAAAACTGGAGACCAACTCACATCTACTTCATAAATTTTACGGTCACTACATCAATAGGATGTGTGTTTGTAATTGTTAAGTCTAATTGTTGAATGTTGTCATTGGGTTTCTTAAATTTGTACAGTCTTGGTTCAAGCAGTAGGATCAAAGCTATTCCTTTGTTCCTGACCACCTCTCCAGCCACTCTGTGCTGGGGGAGGTTCTACTGCAGATTCATGCTATCTGAAAGATCTGTTTCTTGTGTTGTAAGCTTCCTGCTTTTATGATCCTTTTGGTCAGCAGGAGGTCACACACACACACACACACACACACACACACACACACACACACACACACACACACACACACACACACACAGTGCCTTGTCTTAGGCTACGTCCACACGTACCCGGGTATTTTTGAAAATGCAGATTTTTCTATGCGTTTGCACCTTTCGTCCACACGTAAACGGCGTTTTCGGTCACTGAAAACAGAGATTTTTAAAAACTCCCACCAGGGTGGATATTTTTGAAAACTCAGTTTTTGCATTTACGTGTGGACGAGAAGAACGGAGAAAACGCAGCGTCAAAGGTGTGTGCATTTTTTTGACGTCACACTGTGCGCCACGTTATTGTTTCGGTGAAATGAATTTCTTCAATACTGTTACTGTTAATTCTACTCTCTGCAGTGTTTAAATGCTTACATATACACACAGTTACTGTCCCTCCACACATACGACTCGGTTCTGCTTCTATGCCCCAGCTTTGTTTACTTTTTCCCACCAAGGCTTCTAGACTTCTGATTGGCCAACATTTCTGCACGGTTAGGAATATATGGCATGTTCATAGCAGCGTTTTCCTTCATTTCTGCGTTTATGTGTGGACGGGATTATTTTTTAAAACGAAAACGGAAAATCTCCGTTTTCAAAAATACCCGTGTACGTGTGGACGTAGCCTTAGAACCATTGGGGGGGGGGTTTACGGTGGGAGGTGCTTGTGTTGTATTGCATATTGTAACTCAGGGCCGTGCAGTGACGTTTAAAGGGGCAGGTGCTCAAAGTTAAAAAGGGGCACATTGAACCAGGCTGAATAACAACAACACACATTCATCAAGAATCTTAATATGGGATCGCATCATACTATATCACTGTTGTGAGGTGGCGACAAGGCAAAGCAAATGTAGCCGATGTTTTACCTGATGGGTGCAATGTTGCTGTTGAGGGGTTGCTGCTGCTCCTGCTGCTGATAGTGCTGGAGGGCAGGGCTGTGTTGATCTGAGACTGTAGACAGTAAAAAGTCCACAGGAGAGATGGTAGCTGATTAAACAAGTGTCATGAGATAATAACAAAATGCAAAGATTGGTGACAGCACTTGGAACCATAAGGCAACAAAAAACTGTGAGAAATAATTTAGGCTCTGCCTGTGAATCACTCTTTGCTTCTCTTCTTCCTTCCATCCCATCATTTCATATATCACTCTCCACTTGCTGTCTATGTGAGAACAAGGCACAACTTGCTATTGCAATAAACTATAATCTAATTATCCACACCTAACAACTCCTGCACTTAATCTAAATGATGACAGAAAAATGTTATAGCCCTGCCTTTAGTAGCCTCACACAGGTCCTGCTGTTTCCTCCTCATGTCCTTACCAGGCATGTCTGGACAATGTTATATCCTGAGTAATAATTTAAAAAAATCCATACACATAAAACAAACACATGCACACACACACAGTGACATTTTAGACCTTCTTCAGAATACTGTATATACTATGGGCATCAGTGTGCTGATCCAGAATCCTTACATTATTATTTATTACTAGAGCTACAATAATAAAGCAATGAGGAGGGGAAGTAAGAAATATGAAATAATGTATTTATGATGATTCCATTTGTTTCACTATCCACTCTGTGCAGGGCAAAGCTTATTACATTTTTAAACTGTAGAGATACAATCATTTTACTGCTGTAAAATCAAAATTTTGTCTTATTTAAAATATAAATCTAATATAATCTGCTTGTGTTACAGTGTGTTTTTTAAAATATTATAATGCATAATTATGTGGACATGCATATTAGATCGTTTTTAGTGAAATATAATTCCTCCAGAAAGGCAGGAAAAGCCCGGAAACTTACTTTAAAACTAAATATGTTCCCTAAAACGGTGACAGAGCTACAGACCCATGACAGCCTTGCACAGGTAGCCAGCAGCTATGACCAGCACTACTTGTGCAGTTAATAAAAGGACAGGTAATGTTTGTCGCGCTGTTGCACACACAGCACGCTCGTTTGTTTCAGTTCGTCAGTTGCAACAAGACAGCTTACCAACGTGTACGTAATAAGCTACTCCTGGGTGCTACACACTACAGTGTACGCTGTACACCTACTTACTGGTTGTGTCGCATCAGTCTGTGTCTCTGAGTTAACTTGTGTTTCTCCTACAGCTCCGGACCGCAAAAAATGCGCGTGCTCTTTGTGAGCTCGTAACCAGCGCGTTCTGCCGTCAAGGGCGATCATTGGTTAAATGTGATCATGTGACTGATGCAAGCCAGATCCTTTTATTTAGCAAAACTGTGATTAATAGTTAAATATTATTGTTGAGGGGCACAGACAGGACTCCGCACGCACACACACATAAAAAAATAAATGAACAAAAGGGCACTTTGGGCACCCATCAGGAAAGGGGCGGGCGCTCAAGCCCCCCCCCCCCGCACGTGCCTGTTGTAACTGTCATGTCAATAAATAGCTACGGGGACAGCTGCTCTTTGAAGGATTTTGGGCATGAGACAGGTTAGGAGCGTGAGCTCCAAGAGCTGGTTCTTGACCAAAAACTTTCCTCGTTAGCGAGTGAAAAACCGGTTGAAGATGTTCTGTTATGTCTTGTTTTCTTCATGATGAATAAGTCTCTAAACTAGCAGGGCTTGTGGAAACACAGACCCAACAGTAGTAGTTTGAAAATATTTGTTTTACGTCATTGATTTAGATCCTAGTGGTACAGATCATGTTCCTTGCTATCCATCAAGGCCCATCATTATTCACACTGAGTGGACTTAATTTCTCTTTAGCATAAGGTTTGAAGGAAAAAAATGTGAGTGCATACTGATTCATTGAGACGGGCAATTAAATCTCCATGTGACTGTGCATCCTCGCTAACACACGAGTAAGATTTTAACATGGTTCACTTGCACTCTACCAGTGTGTGACAAGAATGGGAGGTTGCAAGGTGTAAGGAGGTTTTGGTGTAAGGGGAAATAAAACACTCCTCCTCTCTCTCTGCCACTTTCTGTTCTGTTCAGATGCAAAAAGCTAACGAGTGAGCTGTTTTTAGTGCATGCTCAGCACTTAGCTCCAGGATGCAGCACTCTAAATGCTGGTGTTGTATTTGTCCTGAAGGCGCCTTGAGATCAGCATTATGTGTTTATTTATTCACCTATGCTCTGAGGGGAGTGCTTGTTATAACATTAAGAACAGAGTAAAAATGTCTTCCCTTTAAACACACGTTGCTGTGTAAAAACACCCTCACTAACCAAAAACACAACAAACTGATAATGTAGAAATAAAAAAGAAAATCAAAACATTATTGTGATGTAGTTTCCAGATATGTTGATCTTTAAACATTCCAGCTTTTCAGTAGATTACCAGGCACACAGGCTGGAACTGTGACACAATACTGTTTGTATCATGGCCTCAGTCTTGCCTATCAATATTTTAATTGCATTATTTTAGATGGTATTTGTGGTCTTCAGACTAACAAGCAAGAAACTGAAGCGTGTAAGAAGCTTAAGCACAAATGATCTCATCTCTGTATTAAATCAGATGAAATGGTAATAAGCTACAACCCTGTTGTCAGAGAAGTTGGGTCGTGGCTTTCGTTTAATAAAAACTTGACTCACTTTGTTCACATGTACATGCAGCTGCTGCCCTGCTGGACCCTTCGCTACATTAACCTACACCAGCAAATTCTAGAGGCCCGTTCCCCACAACTCTTCAGCTTGGCCCAGATCAGCATGGACAAAGGTCTGTTTGTTTTTTGTTATTGTTATTGTGTTGTGTTATATGCTCGTGAGTGTATGTGGGAAAGAATATTTCAAACCTAAGTGAGCATTTAGCCAGTTTACCACGTCAAGCATCAGCCGTTTCAGTGTATTCGCGCTGTGTGTGCTACAGTTTGGACAAATTGACGATAGAGTTGTTTCCAGCTACGTCTGTGGTGTCAGAAGTAGTGAATTCTTTGTGGTCCATTTGGACTACACCATAGTCAGCAGTTCACTCTGAGCTGCTGTGCTGCTGATATGTATCAGTATCTTATTTAACTGTTAAACTGGCTGATGAAATTAATGCACATTTATTGCGTACATGAAACGAAAAAAACAAATCGTGAATTATCGCAAAATGTTTTAAGGTTGGTTGAGGCAGAAAATTTAATAAATGCCAAAACTATATAGAGGCTGGGAGGACACAAACAGCCTCAGGGTGACAGGCTTTAGTTTGTTGGCAGATCAAATTCAAATTAATTTTATTGATTGGATAGGTGTTCTTCATGGCTGCAATTCCTGCAGTGTAAAATAGACTTAGCAGCAGATTATAGTCAAGTAGTAAGCTTATATATGTTCTGCATTCCCACATTAATATGATATGCGACACATAGTTTGTGCTTCATTCATTGGCTTTAGTAATTATATTCTATTTTGTGATTAAAACATGCTTTAAGTAAAAGAATCAGTCAAAACTGGACTCTTTTTGACTGATTCACAGATTGCTTTGCTTTGAAACCAAAACTCCAAATATAACTTACTCCCAACCGCATTATTTATTACCACAGCGGTTTAGCCACGCAAAAAGAGTCTCACTTTAAGCTCAAAAAAGCCATTAATCTGGCTTCGTAGTACACTGTGACCTATGTGATCAACACTCGTCTTGCATCCATTATGTGTATTCCTTGGGTTAAGCAGGTCCTGTTTTCCTCTTCGTCTCTGTCAGTAGAGGTTTCTTTGCAGCATTTCCACATAAAAGTCTGACTCCCACAGTCCTCCTCAGTTATGACAACCATTTATGAAGTCAAAAACATTATTAAACATTATTCCTGCATTAGACAAACATCCATATTAAAGACTTTGAGTAGTCTTGTGCACTTTTATAAGATAAATCTTATTCATGAATCTTATTTTGTTGTCTCTATATGTGTGTCTATGACTTGGATTTCATTTTGTACTGAGAGGTTTTCTGGGAAGGCATGGCCCATTTCATACATATGCATACTCCTTTCAAAAATGTCTCTGGCATATAGAACATGAAGCACGCACTGGTTTCTTAGAGGACCACTACCCAAACTGACATGTGGGTACCAGTGCACTGAAGAAACGTTCTTTGTTTATAAGCAGTTGTTTAATCACACTGTGTTCCTGTAATGGAATTAGAGTGGAGAAAATATCAGTATGTGAAATAACTGTTCTGCGTAAAGCAAAGCTACTCTCCCTTTCCCATCGTCCCAGCAGAGCTTTTATCAGCATTTGGATTGTTTATGTAATTATTGTTGGGTTTTTTCCACAGCCTTTCCAAATGGCTGCTTGCTGGAGTTTGTTTTTTAAAGGCAGTGGGTTTGTTGGAGCGCAGTCTGTTGTGTGGCAGTTAACAGAGTGTGAAGGGCGAGCCGACTGCACATACTACAAAACATACTGATCCGTATTCCAGAGGAGCAGTTGGACACGATGCTTTTACGAGTGGTGTGAGCAGAAAGGTGATGCTGTGACAAGCATGCACATCTGTTTTCTGCCCATGGAGGTGCTGCCATGTCTGGCTTGATTTCCTTTTGTTTGGTGCGCAACAGGAATATTTTTGCTGAATTAATGTCCTGAACATTTTTACTGTTGGCCAGTTGCCTTTAATTATAACAGGTTTTTTTTCTGTAAGGACATTCTTTGAGACTTACTCTGAGCTGCAAAGTCAAAGTGTCTGCATGTTTGAAGGTGCCCACTGATATTGTCACAGCTTAGCTGATCAGAGTAGTTGTTGGGTTAGAATGGAAAAAAACACACCTATAAATATCTACAAAGGGTGTGTGTGAGACATATTTTACATATAAGTCTATTTTAATATGAAAGGTTGAGGTTATTGTCACTTGGAAAGAACAAAATCGGCAGCTTTAGGCACCCAGTACTTTGATGGCTCACAGTTTGTACCAAAAATGTTAAAAGAAGTCCCATGAAGCTAGAAACATTTGTGATGTGTATGTTTTGCAGAGATTTACCATATAAGTAAGCAAATCAGTATGAACGCTGCATGTTTATTTGCTTCTGTGAATCAAACTGTAGTATATAACTGTTAACACGATGTGCTCGCTTTAGTTAACGTGCAAATAGCCAACCGGCGACAGCGCAGTAACACCTGTTACAAATGATCCTGCTAGCCAGCTGATATGGTTGGCTTTGCTTTGCATTGCTTCTGTTAGTAAACTTCCAAATTTTGTTTGTTTTTTTAACAGAAGCCATTGCAAATGATGTCGGTATTTATCTTGGCCTACAGAAAGTGTTTGATACAGTAGATTATTGTCAGTTATTAAGGAAATTAGAGAGATGTGGAATAAGAGGAATAGCCTGTTCCTGGTTAAAGCTCATTTGAAAAATAGACAACAGTGTGTGCAAATTAACAAAACTGTTTGAATTTAGAAAGGTTCAATGTGGGTTACCTCTATGATCAGTGATCGGTCTAAAACTCTTTAGACTTTACATTAATGATATAAACAATTTACTAAAATGAGTAAATTGTTTAAATTTGTTATTTTTGCAGATGATTTAAAGATTTAAAGGATATTTTGTGTGCAAAAGAACGTGAGTATGACATTCTTAACATGTGGTTTGATATCAACAGATTGTCCCTTAAGAAAACTCAATTCATGCTTTTTGTGACCAAAAAAGGATGTAAAGAAAATATTGAATTAAAGGTTTTTAATACCAAAATTAAAACAGTCAGTGATGTAAAATCCTATGAACAACATTTTCATTATATTATAGGGAAAATGTCAAAGTTATTATGTGTTCTTTATAACACTAAGCATCTATTAGAGCTTTACATATAATTTCCTGTTCACTTGTATTTTTTTCTTGTGTGGAGTTGTGGGAGTCGGCTTTTAAAACAATAATAAATTCAATACTTATATTACAAAAAAAAAAAAGAGTAATCCGAGTCATTAATAAGACTGGTTATGATCACACTGAGGCAATGTTTCTAAGGTCACACATAATGAAAGTGAACGATTTGGTGTTTTTAAAGTAATGAAAATGATGTTTAAGCAAAAAACAAGTTACTCCCAAACTGTGTTCAAAGGTTTTCTCAATAATTAGAGATTTTTGTCATTTTACTGTAACAAAAGCAAATAAAGAGATTAAACAAAGGTGTACTTCTGTTGTTGAGGTTTAATTGTCGAATGATGTTGATATGTGTTTAAAAATAAAAAATGCAATTCATTTGCAGTCTTCAAAAGAATGCACTACAAATATATTTATCGAGGGTTATATTTGATTTGTTAATGTTAGTCTTGTCTATTTGGAAAGGTGGGGTACCTTAAATGATAAGAATGTTGGCCAGGCATAAATATAAGCAGGGCTGCACATAAGTGGTCCGCAGGTGCGCATTCGCTGTCAAAATAAAAGAATGAGGGAATGAGACTGCGCTTTCCTCTGTCCATTCCCATCGACTCCATGCTCAGTGTGTCTTTTTAATGTCTCATTTCAGGGCCTGAGTTCTTCGAGCAGGGTTGTAAGGAGCATAGATATATTTGGTTCATGCATAGAAAAGAAACTGGACCCCTGGTGTTTTCTCGGCTACTTTGACAATCTCTGAACATTTTAACTGCAAAATCACAATGTAAGATGGCTAATCTGTGTTTCATGTTCATCCTCACTGGAATGTTCTTCCCTTTCCTTTTACAGTGCTCAAATGCCAGTCTGTGTTATCACAACACAGAAACCTGGCTATTCAATTCCACCTCGAGTGCGTCTACACTAGTCTCACCTACTATGAGTACCAGCGTGCCAAGGAACACATCGAGAAGGCTCGGGAGCTTTCGGGGCTCACCATCAACATGACTGGTAACTGAAGTACACACCTGGAGAAAAGAATGCTGAATTGACAGAGAACCATAGGAGGCCTGTATAATCAGGGAGAGTTGACAAAAGGGAGTTCTACATGAAACACAATTTGACAGTTTAACAAATTATTATTAGCAAACCCAAAGCTACTAGAGCTGCAGAATTAGGTCTCCAGTAGTTTAGCCTATGTTGAACTCTTGGAGATCTTATTGTTTAGGAAGGAGCTTTAGTTTTAGTCAGTGACTCGTTATTTCTCGAATTCTACAAACAGGATAAAGTATAAACTATTAGCTTCTTAAGTGATAAAGTAACATTAACCTTGTGCCCTGGCTGTGGCTCATCTTTCCAGTGTGCTGCAGCGCTGTATTATAGGACTCTATGAAGTACTGTCCAGTTATCATTTTACACCCGTGCAGCTTTTTATTGGAAAAAATAAGTTTTTAAATACTTATGCTGTATTTTTATATTTTAGTTCCCGTTTTGGTAAATGGGCTGGTTCTTTTATAGCGCTTTTCTACTCTGAGCACTCAAAGCGCTCATCCACACAGCGCTTTTTTTTTTTCTATGTTCTTTCTATGTAAGTAGCACTAACATGGGGTTCACATGTGTTCACACACGGGGTTAGTATCTTGCCCAAGGATATTTGGCATGCAGACTGGAGCACCACCAACCTTCTGATTAGTAGGTGACCTGCTCTGCCACCTGAGCTACAGCCACCCCTTTTACCATTATCTTTTATTAAGAACAATTTAGCCCATAAATTAAACTTCTCAGATATGTTATTTTTGCTGCAGTGTCTACACTAGTAAGATCTTTTTATATAAACGAACATAACTTATCTTTCTCACCGGCATTTTTCAATCATTCAATCAACTTTCATTTCAAAAGTTATAGAGTTGATGTGTGATTTTTTTTTTTTTTTTTTTTTTTTTTTTGGTAAGAAATTGATATTCAGAGATATTCAAGAGATCTTTAGATGTCAGCTGCTGTAGCTAGCTAGCTTTTTGCTAACTTTATATTCAGCATAACCTCATAAATCCTTGATATCCTTGATTTCAGATTTGGGTGTGTTGAAGTATGGACAGAGCAATAGTTGTCCAACATTCTAAGCTGGACTGACAACATGTTGCATTATTGCATTATTTGTTGAATAATGCAAATGTAGTTACCAGTGGTGATGCTGAATAAAATGTCCAAATTTAACCATAGTATATCTAAACCTTTTAAGCTGATTTCATCTGTAGGTGCCCTTGGCAAACGTACCCGGTTCCAGCAGAACTACTTGGCTCAGCTCATCCTTGAAGTCAAAAGAAAGCAGGACCAGCCTTGTCAGATCAATGATGAGGAAACTCCCACCCCTACACCTCAGGCTAGTCTTCCCAAGGTATGAGCGTCTGTTTGTCTTCTTCCCAGCGCACTTTGGTTGTTCGGCTGACTGACTGTTGAGCCTCTATCTTCTATGTTTCAGACACATTTATTTAAAGTTCGGTAACTTGCAACATGTCCCTTAAGTTAACCCACTTACACACACATTGATAACACATCGTCTTTTCCACCTTTAAGCTAATGTCCACACACTCACAATTTACCTTTCAAAACTGAGAGAGATTCCATGAAACCTATGTGTTTATTGTTGGTATTTATATTCTTGGTTAACTTGAATTAACCTTTTTATTTTGCCTTTATACACTCTAAGACCATTTGTACTTGAACTGTCTCCTCTCTTATTCAGTTTTGTGATTGCATAAGTATTTGAAGTTTGATGTGTGACTTAAAATGGGTATGTTTGAGTTTACTAGGAGAAAATCTTTAATGGCAGGGGCCATACTATAAACAGACAAGAGTCTAACCTTGACTCCTCTAAAAATGGATAGCTTATGGAAGCTGTCTCGTTGACTTGGCAACAGTCTGCCCATTTAACCTTTTCTGCTAGCCAAAATTTACAGAGGTGCAAATGCTTTTTAATACCCACCATCATCAGCAGAGGGGGGTGTCTACTTCTGGACCTTTTATAATACCCTGTGAAACCTGTTGATACTGTTGACCCTGTTAGTTCTCTGTTACAAGTTACAAGTTCTCAATATATAGGCCTTTAACTCAATCTTTCTCCTGAAATGGGAAAAGAAATGAAAATTTTTATGCTGGAGTGCAGTTAAAATTCATATTCTACCTCTAATACTTTGCATGTGCAAGACCAACAGCATATCAGGCAGGTGTTGTCATAATATTTTTGATTATTGACATACATGCACATAGTCATGCATACGTAAGTCTTTATAGAGAGGCATGGTTTAGGCTGCATCAAACCCGGTCCCTGTAGCCTTTTGGCATATAGGTTGCCTACTTAACCAAGTGAATGATAACTGACAGTGGCTTATGAATCTGATTGTTTGGTAGGTAACCAGAACCTGAAGTAGCAAAGCAACCTTAAACCATGATGTTGATAAGTGGAGTTCCCACCACTATGCATTTGTGTCACAATGACGGGTTTTGTTTGTTTTTGCACACTGTTCTTCTAAAATTTTAGGAAAAGTTAATATTAGTGCCCAATGAACATTGTCTTAGAAATGCTCTAAAATGTACCATGACACATTGTATAATGTAAGGAACTCACATTTATTTAGCACTTTTTTTCTAGTCTTACTGATCACTCAGAGTGCTTCAACTACTTTCTTTTTAACCTCACATGAATAGTTTAGAGTTTGAAGTGGGAGCTATCATCATCTGAGTTGAACATCTGAACCAATGTACCACCCACTGTTTCCTTCATGGTGTCCGTCCACACTGTTCTTATTATTTCTTTTTTTTCTTGAGGTGAATATAAAATTTAACCTTGTTTTAAAACTGTATTGGTTTTGCTGTGACCCAAGTTTTTGTAAATGGTTAAGAACTTTTATTTATAGAGAGGAGAACCTGTAAAAGCCCAGACTTTTTTTTCTGTCTTTATTTTGGCCACATTTGACAGGAACTGCATGCTGATATCCTCATATAAAACCTTTTTACAACAACTGTTAATAAACTAAACAAGAGCAAAGATATTATGATTAGGGCTGAACGATTATGGAAAATAATCTAATTGCGATTTTTTTGCCCCAATATTGCGATTGCGATGCGATATGCGATTATTTTTTAAGGTCTTTGTCTTCTGTATTATTAAACAAAGACAAGCAATACATCATATAGTATGGCCAATACTATATTACATTAATTTTAAACTGTTCTTTCCTGGAAGACAGACCTCTGTTATGATGACATGAGGTGATGCATGAATTGATGACTGACATTTTTATTTAACTTCTTCAATCACAACAGTATATTTGAACATACACAATAGTTTATTTTTAGCTTACAAACATCTGAGCATAAAGTGCTGACAAGGAACCCTGGTGTAAACATTAAAATGAAAGTCAGTACAATGTGCAGATTGCAGAAATATACATAAACAAAATCAGTGGCTTTACCACACTCAGTTTTTCGACATCTGTGAACTACTAGACAGTCATTCAATTAAAAAATAATATTAAATAAATAAAACTAATAAATAAAAAATACACACATCTTACTGATCTCTGCAGTCAGTAACATTACACATAAAGTGCAAACATAATAGCAATTGTATAAACACACACACAAACACGCCTTTAAAGTTTAAAGGCGTGAAATTGGACGGTCTAGTTCTGATTAGCGTCACCGCTGTCTCGGTGGAGTTTAATAAACTCGGCCGTCTGCTTCTTGCTATCTAAAATATAACCAGACACTGGCGTAAATTCTCGACTGTCTCATACTTCTGTTTAATAAGTTTTCTGTTTGACGTTTAGTCAGCTGTGTGAAAACCAAGGAGGAACCCACCCGGGGGATTAATAAAGTTTTATTTTATCTAATCTAATAACTTTAATCTCAGCCAAACCGATTTACTCACGAACAAACAAAACACTGAAAAAAGCCCAACAATAACATTTTTAGGTTGTCTAAGTGACTTATATATTACGTTTAACCCGAGCAGCGAAACTCCGCGGTGATCTGAAAATGATGTGCCGGGAGTTGTGCCGTTCTCGGCCGCATCAGTAACCCTCGAGCTCCCGGCTAGCTGTCGAGCTGGTGGGTAGCAGACGCCTCTGAAAACGTCGAAGCACTTTTGCAAATATGGGATATCTTGATAAACCGAGCAGATATTTGATGTTTACACAACTACTTTCTCGCCTGAAAATATGTTAAAAGTTTATTTTGTGACCCAGAAAGATTAGTATGAGTAATTTTAAAACTTAGTAGCGGCCGCCATTGCTGGAAACTGGAGTTTGGCTGGGCCGCGCTATGAATTCTGGGATATGGTAGTAATTTGGACAGCCTTCGGCGCGTCGCTGTGACGTAATCGGTCTACAAATGCGGCCTCAGGAGGATGCAGCCCATGAATTTGGACATGTCCAGAGTATAATCGCAGCCTTTGCGGTTAGAAAATTGCACTTGATCATGTCGCGATATTATCGCAAATGCGATATATCGTTCAGCCCTAATTATGATCCAGATTGATTTTTGCTGGGTTTTTTTGAGAATGTCAGAAGAATGTCAATTATCCTTGTTTCTATTTGATATGTATTTGTACAATTACTCAAACATCCTGGGTCTAGTTCTAGATTAAACTTGACTTTAAAAGGTAACGGCTTCTAAGAGCTACCTCTCATGTGGTTTTCATACCTCTGGTATAGATTTGTCTGACTTTTTGCGTAAATCGGCTGACAAAACAATCCTTTGCTATCCACTCTGCCAAAATCAGATTGTCCTCCTTAGTTCGGTCCTCTTTACATTTATATTAAGTTTAGTTTGTGTGTACGAAAGAGATCTTGGTGTGTGACAACCTATTTTCCTGGTGTCTATGAAAACTAAAATATCACTTTGCTTCCCTAAATTCCCTCTCTGGTGTTTCCCAAAGTTGCACAGTCAGATCTCTAGTGCTCAAATGTGTCAGCCACTTCATGATGAAGTACTGGTCAGATGCCCACCACAGTGTGCTGACACACACACTCTCGCACAAAAACACCAACAAGCAGAAAAGAGAAGAATGGTTACTGTCTAAATGTTTCATTATGCTCTCCAGGCAGAGAGAAACTTGCTTTTAAATGGTCTGTAAAGCACAGAGATTTAAACGATCTCCCACACACACTGCACAATGACTGTCTAATTTCCCTCCATCATACCTGGTAAGTCTCCCATTCATCCTTACGCTACGCAGGTTTGGTTTTAGGTCCCTACACAGTCAATCACTCTCTCTGGCTGACTCCTTTTGTTCTTTTTGCCAGCATTGTGTGCTTACATGGAGGTGGTTTATTTACCTCACACTGCTGGATGCTGTGTAGTCTGGCAGTGAGCTCGGGCTGGGTGATTCATTTCATTTTCAGACAGGAATTTGACTTAAAACATTAACATTAAAAGCAAGTTAATCAAGCGAAAACAATCACTGTAACACATTTTATTCACAGTGATGGTCTTGATTTGTTACATGTTAAGCAGATCCGTGTCCTCTTGTGAACTGGATGTAAAGTGGATTGTACAAATGTGAGGCAGGGTGGTTGTACCCTGCTGGAAATGTGTTGTTGTTGTGATAGTAATCCTGCTTAGTATCCAGAGATTCAGGCATCTAGTCTGTATAATTGGATAAGGAAATGAAAACCCCTTTTCTAATCTAAAAGTGACACCAAAACCCTCCACTTTTTTTTTTGCTAGAGTTTTATTGTCCATGTTAACATTGTTTTGGAGCACAGGGTGGCTAGGCTGAGCCTTCGACTTAGGATAAAAAGCTTAGATATTCAGGATTCATGCTACAACTTCCTTTGCATTAAAAGGAGCCACTCTGTCTGTCTGGTATCTGATAAAGTGTCTGCCTCTGGTGGTTTTTCCTATCATGTGTAACTGGTATGAGATTGTTAATCAGATCAAGAACATGGTAAGAGATTATATACGTTGTCTAGCTTGTTAAGACCTAGAAAAAGTCACAATGGACAGAACCGTCTCTCTAGCTTTCTCACTGGGGATTTATCCTTCATCTGTAAATCCAAGCTATGGTGACATTGGAACCACACCCCTCTTAAACTACTTACTATAACCTGTGACCTAAACCGATATTAAGCCAGATTTAGACCACAGAGGTCTAAATCAGGTGTAAGACCTGATTTGTCCCCCTTGATGGACAATGATTCATATTTTCTTTTTTATTGATCTGATCTAATAAATTCAAAATCTTTTCCAAAATATTTGCTGGAAATTCACAGGAGGAATCAATGGTACTCAGCAGGCTAATAGCAATAGTTGCAGACTGCATCAACCAGATGTGCATTCACTCTTCTGGGGGGGGAGGATTAGGTTTCAGAGTGGTTTGCAGTTCCTATTGAAGCATAATTCCCCAGTTAGTCATCTGCCATTCAGAAGTAGCCAAGCCAAAAAACTCTGTTTCTGATTTGTAATAATTGCAATAGTTCTTTTTCCCCATCAGTTTCCCAAATATTTCACTTACTAAGTGTTTTTGTTTCCAGCTAATCACATATTTCAAGCTAATCTAACATTTAACCGTAGCAGTGGCAAAACACAATTACAAAGGTGGAACTTTTCCTTGATCTAGGGGCTAACATTTCACTGAAAGCTGTCAGGGACATTTTGTTGTGTTTTTTTTTTTTTTTTTTTTTAATTATCATGCTAACAAAAACCTTATTAGCTATGTAGTTCAGTCCATGTACATTCCAAGATACTGGTAGTCGGTGCTAAAGAATTTAGGAATGAGACACTGGTTCTAGCTTACAAACATTTTCTGAAATCTTTCGAGCCTTACCTGTAGTGCGCCCATAGAGCTCTTAGTCTTGTAGCCATGGCTCAGGTCCAGTTCCTTGTGCTATGTTCAAACCACTAATACCCTCATTACTGGTGGAGGGGAGTAAATTGGCTCAATCAAAGCTGTCATTAACTAGAGCACACAGTCTCCCCATCTCAAGTGGATAGAAGGAAAGTAGAGAGGCAAGGAGTAGGGACTGTTTATCACTGGCCAATCAAACCTAGTGCCAACCGGGAAACGGGGCCATTTCTGTTGCTGTGGGTCTGAGTGGACTTAGAAGTCAGATCCAGGGCTTCTGTTTTTTTGCTGATGCCAAACCACATTATCACAACAGAGGATTTGATTGAGTTTGCTCAGACCAGAGGAATGCACTTGCCTGTCACTGACAGTTACTGATCATTAAGTCCAGAATTTTTGAATACCTCATAATTGGTAAAGTAGTTTGAGCCTTAGCTCATCCTGACTGCATGGTGTTCTTATGCAGGACTCTAAAAATTCAAACTGAGTGTGTACACGTGTAGGTGAAGGTTAAAGATGTTATGTGTGTTATGTCTGAATAATCTATCCATATAGGCCTACCCATTAGCTTGTTGGTTGGTAGGTGCAAGGCAGTCTGTCTTAATGAAGCACCTCAATTACCAAAAACATCTTTAGAAAAAAAAGGCAGAATTACATATACTGATTTTTGTGCCTTTATTTCTGATACTTGTGAGTGTGAGTGACATCTGACATGGTTTAATCAAATGTGACTGTGCAATCAGCAGTGTAACAAACTCAAATTCAGCTTTGAAAGCTTTGGAAGTGGAACTTGCACCTTAGAAGTTTTGTTTTGTTTCTGGGGAATACCAAGCTAAATATTATTAAACCAGTACTAATCACCTCTGAACATTACCCTCTTAGCCATCAAACAGCATCTCTTTTTAAATATATTCCGCAGTTAAACAGGTCTTTTAAATCAATTCATTTCTAAGATCTTTCAAAGATCCAAGCTATTACATGCAATAGGCTTATAGTTGTATGGTTGGTATTTCATTCCAGTTATTGGTCAACACTGTTGTTTTAATATGTGCTATATAAATAAATTTTGATTTGATTTGATTGGTCCAGTGAGAACTGCTAGTCCATTTGAGTAAAGCACACCCTCTCTGGGCAAAAAGATGGAGTATTGGTTGTTTGGTGATTTTTCTTTTAGCAATGAGGTTGATCAGAAATGCATAAAGTTTATACGTTAAAGCATTAATGTATGGTTTAATATACCTTATATTCTAAAGCTCTTTAAGAATAGGTGAGGTGCAAGAGAACATTTCTCTTGATGCAGAGATACTATGGGTCGTTCCTGAATGACATATCACTTTATCGTCTTTAGAGGAATTCCAGACACTCTTTCAGTCATAATCCACTGCATGTGGCTTGGGCAGTAAATCAGCCTTGACTTCATACTCAGCTGTCTTTACCACAACAGACCTCAGTTTGGCACAGAAACCTGAGAAAATTGAGGCCTAAAATATGGAAGTCCTAATTTGCAGCCACTGTGTGGCAACCTACCTCTACCTCCAATCTATGTGACCATATTAACAGAATCACTAGTTACCAGCAGTTAACTGAAATCTTGATTGTTTAGCTTATCTTTGAATGCTCAGTAAAACGAGTTATTTTCTTGCTAATATCCATATTGAAGTGATGGCCCCAAGTAGCAGCATGTTTGAGACAGTCTTCAAATTTAAAACCCTTACCCTTCTTAACATTGTAGCTCCAAGCAATTTCTGAAAAGTAATGCTACATTCAAAAATGTATGCTTAGTCGCTTGGCAGAACCTTATAGTCTTCATATTCAGTGGTTTATGGCTGCTGATTGTACACATTGTGTTTCTTTGCCTACAGGACTATAGTCTGGGGGATGACACACTACTGGATAAAATCAATTTAGCAGAGCCAGATCAGTACCACTTGCCTGACCTAACTGCTGAAGAACAGGCCGTCATCCTGGGTATCTGGTAAGTCTGCTGCCTCAGAGCTGAACTGTAGCTGTGCGTAAAATTGCAGTTAGAATTGTTTAAAACAGTGGGAAAACCACTAAGAGTGCAGGTATATTGTAATACATAACGACGACGGTAGCCTCATAAGGAACATTGGGTTAATAGTTCATCTGTTGGATGTCAGAAGAAATTGTGTCTCAGGCCTGAAGACTGAAATAATTTCTCACCATCCTGCACATCTATTTAGATCTAATGATCCCCTCAGTTCAGTTTGCCCCTGCATGAATATATGCCATATTCTAGGGCTGCTCGATTATGGCAAAAATGATAATCACGATTATTTTCACTGAAATTCAGATCTCGATTATTTGACGATATTTATTTAACAATAACAATGTGTTGAATAATGGCTTAAAAGATGGTCAAAAAATAATATAAAATAGTGTGCAAATACTGATAACAGTGCAAATGTTTGCAATATAAAAAATAAATGAAAAATGTAAACATCTGTGTTTAGTGAACTTCAAAATACTCCATAATATTTATGCATACAAATAACCAAACATCAAGGCAAGCTGTGTAGCCACACAGTGTACAATTGCATCAAACTGACATTGAGGTATGTCGATTTACCGTGTGAGCACCGGCTCTGTGGTGCAGCTACGACACCGTAGCAAAGTTTACACACTGTCTTGATCCACGTCTGACTCCGCGAACCCATAATGTTTCCACACCACTGAAGCTCTTTTACCTCTCTTTTCAACCAGCGGCATTCTTTCTTCAGCAGCCATTATCCTCTCCTCTCCAAATAAGAGGAGGAGGCTACCCGTCCCCCCCCCCCCCCCCCCCGTCCCCCGTCCCCCGTCCCCCGTCCCCTTCTGTCTGCCTCAATTTTATCCCACAACTTAGACATTCACATTACTCACACTCTCATTACACATACATATAGGATCTTGGGGGTGGGCACGCTACATGGACTCCAAATTACCATCAGGGTGTACAACCTCACCCCTGGCGTCGTTGCCCACCTCTCAATTTTAAATACACTTAGACATTGAGGGCTAGCAGGAGGGACCATGCGCTTACCTGCTGCTCTCTGGCAGGTAGCTCCATGCCCTCCTGGGTTTTAAATGCACCGTAGAACACACATGCATCAACACTACAATGAGCGGGTGGAGGGAGGTTTGGAGTCTTCTCTCACCCCCATTCTCTGCGACCTGCTGGAGCGGGAGGGTGTAGGAGGATAGGTTGGCCGTCCGACTGCGGTCTGGAGTGTGGGGCCTCCCTGCTGCTGTGGAGTCGGGGCGGTCTGCCCCCCCACCGCAGGGAAAAGGGTAACACCACCTGGGTCTGGGTGCAGTTCCCCCCTCCAGGGGCAAGGGTACCTAGACCCGGTTCGTAGAGTACGCTTGGGGAGTGTGATCGTGTGTACAGCGTAGGGCTGCTCGATTATGGCAAAAATGATAATCACGATTATTTTCACTGAAATTGAGATCGCGATTATTTGACGATATTTATTTAACCCTTTAAGACCCACCATAGAACCAAGTCCGCCAGAGCTTATATTATTTTTTTAGAATAGAATAGAATAGAATAGAATAGCCTTTATTGTCATTGTACAGAGTACAACGAAATTGGAGTGCCACTCCCTTGGTGCAAGTTTCAATAATAAATATAAATGTAAAATATAAAAAGTACAAAAAAAACAATCGTAAGTACTCAAACAATAGTATGTACAATATATACAGGATAGCAGCATTAATATAATGACAGTATGAATAGCAGCATAATATAATGACAGTGACGGTATGGAATAGGTTCAATTGTTTTTGTGCTTATTCACTACGGTGATAGCTCTGGGAAAGAAGCTATCCCTGAATCTGTTTGTCCTGGTTTTATGTGACCTGTACCGTCGGCCTGACGGTAATAGTTCAAACAGTTGGTTGCTGGGGTGAGAGTAGTCCTTGATGATATTGCCAGCTCTGCTGAGGTACCGAGAGTTTGCAGTGACCTCCAGGCTGGGCAGAGAGCAGCCAGTGATCTTCTGGGCTGTGTTGATGACCCTCTGCAGTACTTTCCTGTCTGCAGCTGAGCACCCTGCATACCATGTTGTTATGCCGTACGTTAGGATGCTCTCTATGGTGGCTCTGTAAAATGTCACCAGCAGCCTCTCCTCCAGGTTGTTCCTCCTGAGCACTCTCAGAAAGTGGAGACGCTGCTGGGCCTTTTTAACCACCGCTGTAGTATTTGCAGTCCAGGAGAGGTCATCAGATATCTGCACGCCCAGAAACCTCATGGAGTGTACCCTCTCCACACAGCTCCCGTGAATGTAAAGTGGGGCCGGGTCTGCTCTGCCCTTCCTGAAGTCCAAGATAAGTTCTTTAGTTTTCGTGGTGTTCAGTTGGAGGTTGTTAACTGAACACCACTCAGTCAGTCTGTTGACCTCATCTCTGTAGTCCGACTCCTCCCCCCTTGAGATGAGTCCAACCACTGTGGTGTCATCCGCGAACTTTATGATGGTGTTTGAGAGATGGGTAGGGGAGCAGTCGGATGTGTAGAGCGTAAACAGGAGGGGACTGACAGGAGTCTGACAGACTGGTCTATTTGTCAGGAAGTCCTTGATCCAGAGGCAGATGGGGGTGGAGAGTCCCAGGTGAGACAGTTTCTGGACCAGGATCTCCGGGATGATATGATTGAATGCTGAGCTGAAGTCCAGAAAGAGCATTCTCACATAGCTTCCTCGGTGCTCCAGGTGACTCAGCGCAGTGTGGAGCGCTATGGTGATAGCATCCTCGGTGGAATGATTTGTCCTGTAGGCAAATTGGTGGGGGTCCAGAGTGGGAGGCAGACCGGCCCTGATGTGCTGACAGACCAGTCTCTCAAAGCACTTCATCACTACAGGCGTAAGTGCAACAGGCCTGTAGTCATTTGGGCTGGACACAGCTGTCTTCTTGGCGATGGGGATGATGGTGGAGGTTTTGAGGCAGGGCGGGACGGTGTTTGATGACAAGGAAAGGTTGAAGATTTTAGTGAAGACTCTGGTCAGTTCGTCAGCACATGCTCTGAGAACCTTTCCATGTATTCCATCAGGACCTGCCGCCTTCCTGGGATTCACTGACCTTAGAACACACCTCACTTGGTGCTCCCTAAGTGTTAGTGTGCCAGTGCTGGGGGCGGGTGGAAGTGGTGTGGCAGCTGAGGGCTTGGTCGTCTCAAAGCGGGTGAAGAAACGGTTTTACATGTTGTAGTGCCGTTTGTGGGAGCATTTCAAGTTGCTATGCAACTGTTATAGCCCATATTTTAATAATATGTATGCATTAAGTCCATAGTAACTACATTAATTGCAAAAAAGTGCAATAAACTACAAAAAAATTGAAAATCGTTTTTGTTTTTTACATATATTTCTACTTGGAGAAATTTAAGAGGTTTATCCCTCAAAACTTTAAATACAAAAAAGTTGCAAAAAATAGTTTACAACAACAGGAAATTTATTTTGAGTGTCTTCATAGTTTTATTTTGGAGATACAGCAATTTTTATATACTGCAGGAAAAACAAAAAAACAATCCTATGATGCAAATTTGCAAAGAAAACAGCAGGTGCATCAAAATAAACTATTTCCAGCAGTGCAATTCGAGTTCTAAGCATCCCAGAAACTATACAGAAAAGTCAAACATGACCAGTATAGGTTTTTAAGGCGTACAAGTAAAAAAAAAATACATTTTCCGCGAAAATGACGTCACTTCCGGTTTCGGCCAGGAAATGGCGGACATGCGACAGTTCGCGCTGACGTCTGTTTCACTGTGGGAAGTGTTACGAACAGCTGATCGGATCGGCAAAGCGTGTTTCTGGAATATTATGTTTTTGTTCCTGCAAGCGCTTTTTATGCAATTTTTGCAAAGCTATATGTGGAAGGAAACCGTGACCGAGGACAAGCTGATGGCATCAGATGTAAGTACAACTCCTCCGGTTTCATATGCAAAAAAAATTATTGCGCTAGCTTACGCGGTTCAGGTTCTACAGGGATTTAACAATAGTTACGCAAAACGGAGCGTGCTGCTCTGACTGGCTTTAAAGGGTTAACAATAACAATGTATTGAATAATGACTTTAAAAAATAATATAAAATAGTGTGCAACACCACTGAAGTTTTTTTTTTACCTCTCTTTTCAACCAACGGCAGTCACTCTCCTCTCCAAATAACTTCTGCTTAGCTTTCCGAGCTTCCCTCGGGTCCTCTTAATCAGCGGTCTCCAACCTTTTTTGCGCCACGGACCGGTTTATGCCCGACAATATTTTCACGGACCGGCCTTTAGGTGTCGCGGATAAATGAGGGAGGGGCTAATAATCGGCTCAGTCATTTTTAATGATCGTTGAAAGCCCAGATCGTAATCGTGATTAAAATTCGATTAATTGAGCAGCCCTAGTACAGCGTCTCTTTATGTCTGTCTCCACGTTGGTTGAGTGTGGAGTGAGTGCATATGAGAGCATGAGGGTGGGAATGGATGTTTGTGTCTGTGTGTGCCTGTATGTCTGTGTCTATATGTCAGGTTGGGTATCAGACGCCACCTCTCTGGGGACATCTCAGGCCCTCCAAGGTTTGGAGGCCTATCTCCCCCCACCACCACTTCCCCTGCCAGTGGCGGACTCCCTCAGACATCGGTGCGTTGGTGGTTCTTTGTGTCTGGGGGTGGGCGTTCGGGTACACACCGGCTCACTCCTTGGCGGCCGCTTATCGGGGCCTGGAGCCTGGGGCTTGCTCGGGCCACTTCGGAGGTGGGGTGCCCCCGGCCTCTCGGCCTGGGGCTCGGTCACTCAGGCACGACTGGCTGCCGGCGGAGCTCACGGGCGCGTCACTGCAACCCCCCTGGCTTCTGCTCCGCGGCTGCTGAGTGAGCTCTCATCTGGGACTCTCCTCAGCTCTTACTGGGACAGTGGCACGGCTGCCCCTCTGTTGGTCTTCCTTGGTCTCTTGTGTTCTGGGGGCCTCTGGATGTCTGGAGTTTTGATCTCCTCCATACCTGCTTCATGCCCTGGAGGACGGGGCTGTGGCCCCCTCCCACACCCTCTAGCAGATCATTACATGAAGGAACCTTTTAAAATAACAAGCGCGTCCATGCTCACAGGTGTACACACGGGTGATCACACCCACAAACTACACCCTTTTGGCTCCTACCTCAAAGCACACTGTGTTCTGTTGATCTTATGTGCTGCACAGTAATGTTTAATATTTAGTATTTACTGTCATATTCCCATATATCATTGTGATGTTGTTTATTCTATTACTCTTGTTCTCTTCTGCTTGTTTTCTTTTTTCTTTCTCAGCAGGTGACCCAGGTGATTGATATATGCATTTTTTATTTCGTTTTTTTTTTTTTTTTTTTCTTCTGCTCATTCTGTTGGTTTTTGTCTTTTGCCCTTCTCCCCCGTCCCTCTTCTCAGCTGTTTCTCTTTCCCTCTTTCTTTCTCCCCTTCTTTCCCCCAGTCAAGTCTGTCCCGTATTCAGTAAGTGAAAATAAAATAAACATTAAAAGGTGAATCAACTGGACCATTACAGCAAGGCTGGGATGGTCAATTTGGTAAAGTAAATCCGTTGGGCATCTCTCTTCGCCTTTAGACAACAATTCTGATGGCAAAAGAGCCAAACGGGACAGGCAGAAAAAAAAAAAAAATTGAGCAAGTGTGTTACCAAACAAGACACCTTAATAGATAGCCCATGACTATCTGGCACTGGACTTTGGCCCTTGTGGGACATGATTGTCGCGGGTGGAGGATAACCTGTGCTATACGCTCCCCACTCGTCTTTACTGTTTTTAAGTCTCTCTTTTTTCCTCTTCCTTCTTCTATTTATCTCTTTATCACTTCTTCTCTCTTTTGCTAACCTGGCCCTCACCCCCTGTCAGCTCTGGGGGTGAGGGAACCTCATGATTTTTTATATTTCATAAATATGTGACACCCCAGGCAGTTTTTCAGCCAGTAAGCCCCAGGAGTTTGCATGAGTTAGCTGATGTCGTCCCAACTGTTTTGCTATGTTACATAGCTATGAATTCTGCCTGGTTACCAGGCAGAGCAGTATTAACTTACATAAACCAGAAAAAAGCCAATATGGGGTCAGCATCAAAACCAAACAAAGGTCCGTCAATGGATCGAATTCCCTGATTCTTAAGATTTAATTATGTCTATCAGTGGTGTACTAAGGGCTGTGCTCTGGTCTTAGATGACAGTCACTGGAATATAGTGCAGTGGGTACTAAACTGAATGTGTGACTGTGTACATTTACCACCTGCACAAACATTTTTCCAGAGTCAGTTAATAAGTTGTATGTTTTTCTATGTAAAGTTTAGAGTTCATCAACACTTCTTTTACCCAACCCTTTCTTTTTTTTGTGACCTGTAGTTTTCTCTAAATTTATAGCTGAGTGACTGTTATTTGTGAACGTGTTTGTCCTGGTGGTTTAATCCAGGCAAAGGGATAAACAAAATAGAGACTAAAATGTAATATATAAAAATAGTTATCTTCACAGTAACCTGGTGATTAATTTTCTATGCTGGTGCTGGAACTGAATGGGCCAACTGAAGGTCAGTGGAGCAGTCAGTGAGATTGCTAGGAGATGATTGATGAGCAGCAGGTCTGTTTAAATTAAAGGAAGATCTGTACACCCTGATACCACTACAAAACAGTGTTAAGAACAAGTCTCTTGTATAGTGTGTGTCTTCCAGAGTGTTAGCAGACCACATTTATTCAAAAATTAAGACACTCAACCTAGTATAGAAACCTTGAGAAAATATAGATATCGCTAGCTCCGGGACGTCGGGCTAGCGATTTTGCGAGCCCTGTATAGTATATTTAAACATTTTAATAACTTGTCTTTATTGTCACTGCTTTTTGTATTAATGAGTGCTAATCCCAGGACATAATCAGTATTTATTAATTCCTTGCCAAGGGCTTAAACAGCAGAGACTCTGGTTATGAATTCTCCATGGTCCCTTTAACTCTGGGAATGTGACCTTGTCTGGTTTCTCTTTTCTCCCTCTTGAGCTCTTGGCAGATCTGAAATTTACCTCTTAGAAAAAGTACTTTTAAAGCTCACTGTGGATTCTGATTAATTCCCACGCTGACTTATATATAATAATTAAAACAATTTCTAACGGTCTACCCTTTATTGATTGTAACAAATCATAAATCATTCCCAGGCGCTTGCATGGTTGGCTGATGTTATCCACATTGGCTCAAGAGTTGTGTAAAAGACCATTTTTGATCTTGGAAATCGGTGGTCCGAAATGTAACAATCCAGCCTCCCCCCTAGTTTGCTTGTTGGTCAACTTGGATGACATCACTACTGAGATGAATAAGATTGTACTCATGAACTGGAAAAATAAAAATAATCTTAATTCTAACCAATATAGAGACTGTCAGATAGATCATATTAGTTTTGAATACAGCCTCTTCCACCACTATAGATCAATCCTTCTGGGCTCCTTTAGTCGGCTCCATCGCCTAGTGGGGATGGGGGGGGGGGTGTTCCGCTTTCATTACTGTGGTTGATGCGGGGGTAGGTACGGGCTTGGGGTGTCTGGGGATTCTCTAGGGACAGATTTCTTGGGGGGCTCAACCTCGGGCTGTGTTCATGACCCGGATGGGGCTCTGGTGGCTCTTGGATGGTGTTTTTCTGGCGGCTGCCTGGAGGGTCTGTTTTGGTGGACGTAGGACACTGGCCTGGTAGCCTAGCTGCCCCAGGGTGGGTCTGGGGCAAGCTTGGAGACTTGGGGTTCTGGGGGTGCTCTGCCTCTCTGCTGGGACTCTGATAACAAAAGGTTATCAAAAATAAAACAGGAAATAGGCATGGGAAACTAAACGGGGGCAAAGCCGAAAACACCGGGTCAACGACCCAAATTCCCTGACACACCGAGGGGATCTGGTTAATTAAAGCTCAAGTTACCAGTTGTTTTACTTGTTAAATAGGATATTTGTATTAATCTTTCCACTATTTATTCACAAATATTTTTGTCTGCAGCACTGACTTCCAGAAGAATAACCCTGTGCACAAACTAACAGAAGAAGAACTCCTGGCCTTCACGTCTGTAAGTCATTGTTTACTTTTTTATGACCAGCATTGTAAGTTTTCCCTGTAATACTAAAGAGAAATGACTTTGGTAGTATGCCTTGCCTTTTTTAACCCAGCCGACACATACACTCCTCTGATTAACAGTGAAACTTAGAATTAACAAAATGAAAAATAATGCAGCAGTGTATAAATCACTATTTGGGCCTCATTCATCTTGCTTATACAGGCAATAAATAAGATATGTACAACCAGACTTGCAGTTAGATTGGTAAACATCCTAAATGTAAGTTTTTCAGCAGAGTGCTGAAAATATCGTCGTACCAGCAAATTGAAGTGGACATACAAACATAAGCCACAATACAAAAATGATGAAATGGCTCACCCAAAGGTGAGCAGTAAGAAAGCTGAGCTCATGTTGAGGGAAACGTAACCATAAATCTTTAGGGACACTCCCAAAAACAACCAGTAATTTTTATGAAGGCAATTCCTGAAAACTTTAATGGAACTTTTTGTAGTGGCAGACAAACTGTAGTGGGACCACTACTACGATTTTATCGTTATGATGATGTTAGTTGGAAGATATAATTACACGCTAATCAATGTATATTCATGAGTACAACATAATTGTTTAATTAAATAACCTAAAAATCCCTTTTTAAATAAAGCTGTATTTGAGATGAATATTGTCACCATAATTCACTCTGGAGAGCATGCACGTCTTCAAAACTTCAAACCTTAGCTTTGCTGTAATTATTTGGTTAGCCACTAGGATGCACTTTAAATTTGTACTTGGCAAAAAGAAGCAACAAATACTGTACTGGTGGGATTATTGAATAGTTCAGTGTGTCCTACTAGTTGTTCTGGCTTGCTTAAGCCTGATAATAACGCTTTTGTTTCCTTTCATGAGGTCTTGGAACACATTAGATTTGATTGTTAAAATGACACATTGTCACATTCTCACCACTGGTCCTAATATAATGATTCAGTCTTTGTCACTATGGCTGTAAATTGACACAGCACTGTTATTTACACTTAGGATATGAGTGGTTGTAACTTTTTGAGCTCATGATATGTAAGACTTTGTTTTGCAAAGAAAGTAAATTGGAAATACTAGAAAGAAGAGTATGTGGCAGTCAAAGTCAGATCAGAACAGCTGCTCTGTATTTCTTTGAAAAATGTTAATTACTTTGTCCTGTACCTACATTTTTAATCCTGGTGCATTACCTGAAATCCTAACAAGATAAGGCAATATGCAAGTCTGCGTGTCCATGTTTATTGGTGCTATCCAATTGGAAACAAATATATTTGTGGGTACATTTGTACTATGCCAGTGGTTATTCTCTGTTCATCACTTTTCTTTGAAGTTGAGCAGTAGTTATTATGAAGCCAGCTGTGTATACAAAATAAGATGGCAGCATATCTGTGTCTCACTGCGTTGGCTGGAAATGCTGCTGCAAGCAGCTGCTGGCTCTGTGGGCAGGCATCTTCCCAGCCTACATGTAGATCCAGGAATCTGCAGGCTGGTTAGATGGTTGTCACATGTCTGGCTGTCTTCGTCGATACCTGAATCCTATCACCTTACTAGAAGAACATCTCTCAGCACTGCTAATGTGTCAGTTATTACAGGAGCTTTTCGCCCATGATTTGAGTGTAACAGGGAATATTACAGGCACTAATAATAAGCTGCACAAAAATCAACCGAGTTGTTTCATCTCTGCAGTGAAACTTTGAATTCATTCTAGAGAGAAGCTTATGAGACTTTGGCAGCTTGTGTAGGGTTCAGGCAGCAGTATCACAGGGATTGATGATGCACCTCAGCAAACTACCAGCTGCTGGAAACCCAACAAAGAGGATTTAAGGATCTGACTTGTGTCTAGGTTCCAGTTAGGACCATTATATCTATATCCCTTTCATCTCTGCAAACATGCTTCCTCACAGATCTCTCTGTCTGATCTCTATTTCTGCACCACTCGTACATCAGAACACTGCATAGTAAATATGTCAGGTTTTTTTTATTATTTTTTTAAGAAAAACCATGATCTTCAAAAACAAAAAGAGACCGTAAATGTAGCAATACGGATTTATTTATTGCCCTGGCTTTAATTCAATAAATCTGTTAATTTTGGAGAACTGTACCAAAGCACGTGTACGGTAGGTGACAAGGCTCTGCCCTACCATCCGAACAGAAATCTTTATGCAGATCGATGCGTTTGCAGGACATGAATTATGCTGGAAGAAGGGTAAATTGGCCTGACTCCCTTTGCAACTGAAGAAGGTGAAAGCCTGGCCCACAATAAGAATTCATGGTATTCTGCAGTTAATGAATAAATTGAACCTCATCTCAGGGTTGCAGTAAAAACTCACACAGGTCTTATTCCCATGTGACACAGCCTGATGTCTCCTCTCACATCCAGATGTTTGTTCAGCCCCAGTCTACTCTTTGCAGCATTACACACTGTCCTAAATGCCTCTCACATTAACTCAGTTTTGATCACCATACTCAGTACCTACAAAAATAAATACATAAATTTAGTATAAGTATAACCTGCTCCCAAGCAAACCTGTCTCCTCATAACAGAGTCTCAGTTTCTTGTCGACAGCTGTCTGCTGTATTGAATCTGTCCCTATCGGACTTCATCAGTCTCTCAAATTGTTGTATTGTAATTTTGACCCCCTCTTCATTTCATTGTGGGTATTTGTTTATGCACAATAGGAGTGAATGATATGTAGTAATGATATGCAACAAGGACACTGCTTTCAGTTTGTACGCATCTTTAAGGTTCTAAAAAGCATCGAGTTTGGACGGGTTTTACTACTTGTAATTATGAAGTATGCAACATTTTTTCTAAGCTTTTTTTCTGTTACTCCAAAGCATTCAGTCAAACATAACAGAAAATAATCAATATAATAAGTGGATTTAGTCGTCACCATCAAAACTTCCTCTGTCTTCTCGTTGCTGTTAAGAAACACCCATTTGCGTCAGGAGCGACATGACAAACGCTTTGGATGCTTTATCGTTTGATTTTTTTTTTAATTGCTCAACGATTGATGTTGGTAGAGGAATAACTGCATAATTAGGACAATTTACTGTTGCATTAATGACTCCAGCAAGACTTGCTAAGCATCCACAAAGATCATTAGTGTTTGTTTATCTCACCTCGAACCATGTATCTCTTTTATCACGCATTTCCATTGTCATAAATATACAGTGTGTAGAAAGTTACTGTTGTATAACTTGTTCTGATTAAAGATGAGTCGAGACATGAATTCAGATGAAAAGCTTCAGTCGTCTCTCTCTGACATCTACCTACCAGTAAATCTGCTGAACACACCCTCCCCGCTTTCCCTTTAATCAGCTCATCTAAAGCTAAACCACTAAGCTGTGCCAGCTATTATACAGCAGATTATCACCACAGCACACAGATAAAGACTTTGTGGCTGTAATAGGTTTTAATAATTAGGTGTTCTCACTAAAGCTTGCTGCTTGATTTCCCACTACAGTGCACAGCAGACAGGCGAGCCCTGTGCTTATTTCAGCTACAGAAGAAGAGGAAAAAGAAAGTTACTCTTGTGTGCATTTCCACAGTGCTGCGGTACAACCGCAACGCCAAATAATTTGGGAATTAAAATGTTTTTTAAAACTGCAACAATTTGCAGAGCATATATATTCTATAATAGAGCATTAGAAATATATTAAATGTTTAAAATGTGTTACGTTTGAGAGGTGTTCAGATGTAAGTAGGTTAACTGACAACAGGTCACTGGTGTGTTTGCAGTTTAGAGAGGCTGTATTTATGAATGAGCAGAAGAACCTGTATCTACAGATTGGGAATTCATTTCAGAATGTCATTCAACATAATAAAGAAGACTTTAAATTTTTATGTCATCATATATGATAGATCATCAGATATTCAGAGTGTCTGTATTAAAAAAATAAATAAATGAGAATATCTAAAAATCAGTGGCTGCCCATGATCTTTGGGTCCTCAGGCAGCACTGCATTAGGAAGAAAAACATCATCCTGCTATGCAGACACTGCATGTGTTCACGAACCCTTCCAGAAGGTATCGTCGGTGCCATCCAAAAGCTCTATCATGCAAATAACAAACCAGATGTGAACATGATCCAGAAATGCTGCCCTCTTCTCTGGGCCAAAGCTCGAAGTAACACATGCTCCCATCTGGGGAAGGTCTTGCATATTTAATCAATACAATGCTAAACACAGCATCTATAACAACATCATGGCTTCATAGTAAAAGAGTCTGACTGCTGAACTGGCTTAACTGCACCAAACCATTTGGGCATCATGAAATAAAAAAGCGCCGTGAGACGACCCAGGATTGTTGAGCAGGTAAAATCTTTCGTCAGACTAGAATCTGACAACATTTCAGAGCAGCTGCTGGAAAGCTTTTATAAAAAGAAGGTATTTTTCCAATAATGGTAAACTCTCTCAGTTCAAATGTTTGGTATGGTTTCGGTCTTCTATTGTAAGGGAAAATGTGTTTACGAGATTTGCAGATCATTGCATTCTGTTTCAATTAATTTATTTTTTAAAATTTGTTAATTTATTCATATATTCATAAATACTAATGACGTACTAATTTTGAAGGATAGCGTGGTGTGTTCAGATTTTTCTGGATTACTTTGTACTTCTATTGTGTTACAGACTTTATTAACAGCATATAGCTGCTAACTGTACCTCTGACTGTTAACAGGTGGGCTTTTTTATGTTGAGATTATAATGTCTAAAATCTATGCAAATATAGACGAAAGGTATGCACCGAAATATTTAGTGTTCATGGAGAGCAGCTCTTATTTTATGATGGTGCTGAACATGAGCTTCTAAGTCTTGCTTAGAAATCATCATATTTCATTAAGTTTTAGTCTTCTTAGAATCTCACTCTGTACATCCATCTGATTCAGTAACTAACTTTTAATGCTAAGTAAGTGCCAAAAAAATACAAGTCAAAAATGGCACTCAAAAGAGAATAGCACCATTAATACTCACACAGTGTGGACTGGATTAAAATCACAGACCATGTAATAATAAAGTCCTTCCACTTTCCAACAGAGAAATAAATCTTGTCCGAAAGAAGCTTGGATGGCAGCTTCGAATATAGACTGATTAATTATACAATAAATTTTCAAGTATTGATTGAATTACTCCATTTTTTTTTTTTTAAAGCTTTTTATTCTTCAGTTTTCCTGTCACTGTTTCCTACTTGAAACATTAATCAAGATATGGAACAAGTTTAATCTTGAACTGTTTGTAAAATTCATTCCCTAACCCATCTGGGCCTGGACTCTTACCATTTTTTAATAAACCAATAGATTTAATAATTTCTTCCTTTGTAATCTTGGCATTCAAAATCTTGCGACCCACCTGATCTAACACAGGGAGGTCACACTTATCTAAAAAGTCCTGCATATCTTTAGGCCCTGCAGTGGAATGAGAAGTATAGAGAGATTCATAAAACTGTCTAAAGTTATCATTAATGTCTTTATGTGATGTAACCAGGTTTCCATTGCGTGATCTAATTTTGTGAATCATTCTGTTAGTTGTTAGCTGTTAACTAACAGGGCTAGTTGTTAGCTAGCCCTGTTAGCTAACAACTTATGTTAGCTAGACAGCCACATAAGTTGTTAGCTGTCTAGCTAACAACTTATGTGGCTTGTCCCCAAATTCAAAGTACTTCTGCCTTACAAAGGTGAACACTCTATTAATGTTGCTGGTTAGTATTTGATTTAGTTCATATTTTAGTGCACAAATAGTGTTGTACTTATCTAAAGAGGGAGCCCTTGCATTATTGGCGTCCAAATCGTGGATCATTTTCTTCTAATTTTAACTGTTCTAGTTTATTATTTTTATTCTGTGAGGCCTGATATGATATTATGCACCCCCTGATATAGGCTTTAAACGTTTCCTATAATATATCAGGTGAGATTTCAGCATTATCGTTTATATCGAAAAATAAAGAGGTCTGAGAGTTTATATACTGTTGAAATTTTAAATCGCTCAGTAGTTGTGGGTCAAATCTCCAATTCCTATATGCTTTGGTGAAGTTGCTAAGTGCAAAGGAGCAGGTGACAGGGCAATGATCAGAGATAATAATATTGTGATAGGTTACGTTACGAACAAGGGAGAGCATTTCTCCATCTACCAGAAAATAGTCAATCCTTGAATAAACGTTATGTGCAGAAGAGTGGAAAGAATACTCTACCTGATGGATTTAAAGTTCTCCACACATCACAAATATTCATATTGTTCATATATGTTTTAATAAAGTTGCTACCTTTACACAATGTGTTTTTTTTTTTTGTTTTTCTTTTTTGGAGAGGGATTTATCTAAGTATGGGTCTAACACTAAATTAAAATCACCTCCAATTATTAAATTACCATTAGGTATATCTGGAATTAAGCTGAAAACCTTTCTATATAACTCTGGGTCATCATGGTTAGATCCATAAATGTTCAGTAGAATAATCTGAATGGCGTGCAGCTCCCCGGTCACTAATACATATCTACCATTCTTATCAGCTATAGTGGAAGTGTGCCTGAACGGAGTATCTTTCTTAATTAATATAGCTACCCCTCTGGTTTTAGCAGAAAATGTTGAGTAATACACCTGATTAATCCATCTACACCTAAGTTTATTATGAGCAGCATTTTTCAGATGAGTTTCTTGTAAAAAGATAATATCCGCTTTAAGAGATTTCAAGTGTGATAACACTTTGCCTCTCTTAACAGGCTCATTTACACCTTTAACATTCCATGTACAAAAGGTCAGATCCACATTCTTTTCATTTCCATTTCCATTGTCTTGCATTTGAATATATTAAGGCGGCTTAATTCTGGTGCTCTCCATACTTATGCAGTCAAGATATGGGCCCCAACCCTCACCCCCCACCGCCCTCCCCATATATAACCATAACAAAACAAAAACTCGTAAGCAGTGCATCCCCGCCCATACAGTCCCAACTGAAAATAAAAATAAAAACAAAAGATCTGAAGGGATGCGGTAACAAAAACTAAGCTTACCAAAATACTACTTGATTAATAAGATTGCAATTAGACCTAAAGTTCAGGTTCCACCAGAATAATATAGTATATGCTGTAAAGGTCAAAAAGGTGAACCTATTATTGTTTATGTAGCACACTGTGCATTCACAGTGCATTCAATTATGACTGTACTTTTGTTTCTGCAGCATGGCTCAGTGCAAGGCAGCTTTTGGAGAATATTCTAAACTGGAATGATACTGGGACAATACTTGCACAGACTGAAAAACCTAAAAGCAAAGAGATCTTTTTTGGGTTTAGCTGCCAAACTATATACTGATGTCTAATCTTCACTTTGATCATCGTCTAGTTTAATACTTACACCCAGAATCAGAAGCGAGATCCATCTGTGACAACCTTTAAAGTTGTGCACATTTATATACACAACATGTAACAGTAATAACTTGAATACTAGAGGAACAAATATTGTATAATCCACTTTATTTTGAAACAGACCAACACAGATCAGTTTATAGTTTACAATTCAATCCCTGTCTTATCTATTTTAGTAGTGCATATGGATGCATTCTGAGCTTATTATTAAAGCTGCAGAATTTGATAAGGAAAAAAAAGACAATTCTGACCTAATAATGTTAGGTTATTAATGTTATTATTTGTCTCTGTACTGTTTTATACTGTTTATACTAAAATCATGAGTACTATACTTCATTTGTCATCTGCAAGCTATGATTTTTGGGGCAAAGCATCCTTTAACTTATGCTTGTGTTTAAAAGAAAACTTGGTTATGCATCAATTTACTTCTTGTTCAGAAGGATGTCGGTAATTTGAAGTGCTGAATGAGTGTGTCATGTTCCATATTCACCAATAAATAAAACACACACACACAGATTTGTTAATACAACAATCTTTGTATTGTCAGGTATATAAAGCTCTTGTATAGTTCTATGTTTGTGGGAAGGTAATGCCAGGTTTGCTTTTTCATTTGCTTCTTTTTTGTGTAATGTAATTGGTTTTATGGACTATGAATCTGGATTGATCTGCTTGCGTTTGCTTTTAAGGGTTTAATAGTTAGTAGAAAATAAAGAAAAATACTTTTTACGTACAAGTCACGTTTCATTCGGCCATACATACTTAAATGCATCCCTTCAATTCTATCCTTCGGACCTTTGGATTGAGCCACCTTCTGATTAGAGGATGAGGCACTATTTCCTGAGCTCCTTGGCTTTTGTCACCAGAATGATACTGTTGTTGCACACAATCATGTGTTCCTTGATGATGTGAATAAAGTGTTATCTTTGACCCTTTATTTTTCTTTTATTGTTCCGCAGTGTGTTTTGTCCGAACCCAAGTTTTGGCCAGTGCAAGTGTCAGCACTTTGCCTCAGGACGAAACTGGAAAAAGGAAAATCCCGATGTGTAGAAAGAGCCATGATGCAAACCCAGGTAAATATCTACTCGGGGAGGAAGGTCAAAATAAACAGAAAGCAGAGTGTGTGCAAGCGTCTGCCTGCCTTAATCAATCCAGCTTATTGTAGAAATGGCCATACAAGTCGCCCTGTTGAAATAAGATTCAGAGTCTCTTCCAGCACCACCACCTATCACACCATATGTCAAAAATAATGCCAGTCACTGCTATACAGACCCTTTCCAAAAAATTAAAATATCACAGAAAAGTTTATTTATTTCCAAAATTCCATTTAAAACGTTAAACTTTCATACATTTTGATTCAGGGCCCACAACTTAAACGATTTCAAGTACTTAGTTGTTTATTTGTACATCATTTGGGCTTCCTGCTCATAAAACCCACAAAAACAGGATTTCAAAAAATTAGAATACTGTGAAGACATCACCATTTACTTCTCAGTTTTTGCAGAAAGAAAAGATAGAAATTAGGATCACATCAAATCAATCAAAATGTTTGACTTATAATTTTGAAAGTACATCTTCAATACTTGGTTGGGAATCCCTTTGCGTTAATCATTACCTCGATGCGCCGTGGCATTGAGGCAATCAGCCTGTGGCATTGCCCGGTAGTTATGGAAGCCCAGATTTCCTTGATGCTTGCTGTCAGCTCTTCTTTGTTTTTGGGTCTGGTGGACCTCATTTCCCTCTTGATACCCCATATATTCTCAATGGGGTTTAGGTCTGGTGAGTTGGCTGGCCAGTCAAGCACTGTGATGGCATGGCCAGCAAACCAAGTTTTGGTGTTTCTGGCGGTATGGACAGGGGCCAGGTACTGCTGGAAGATGAAATCTGCATCTCCATACAGATCCTGAGCAGAAGGAATCATGAAGCCCTGTAAAACATTCTGGTAGACTGTTGCGGTGACCTTGGATTTAAGAAAGCAGAGTTTACCAACACCTGCACTGGACATTGCACCCCAAATCATAACTGACTGCGGATATTTCACACTGGACCTCAAGCAGCTTGGGTTCTGTTCCTCACCTGTCTTCCTCCAAACACTTGGACCTTGATTCCCGAATGAAAGGCACTCTTTATTTTCATCGGAAAAGAGGACCTTTGACCACTGGCTAACAGTCCAGTCTATCTTCTCCTTGTCCCAGTTGAGTCGCTTCCGACGTTGGCTCAGACTCAGAAGTGGTTTTGAAGCTTTGACTCCTGCCTCGTTTCACTCTTTCTGGATCTCTGCCAGATTCTTGAATCTTCTGTCTGCCTGTTTTCGTGGGTTTCATGAGCTCTAAGCTCAAATTATGTACAAATAAACAACTAAGTACTTGAAATCGTTTAAGTTGTGGGCCCTGAATCTATCATCTATGAAAGTTTAATGTTTTGAATGGAATTATGGAAATAAATAAACTTTTCCATGATATTCACATTTTTTGGAAAGGGTCTGTAAGTACAAACATTCCACCTCCAGTCCCAAGGAGGCAGACGGGGACATGAATCGTCTTGGAATTGGTAAAAACATTGTTCTTGTGACTTGTTTATTTTGGATAGTTTGTATTGTAACTGCATCTATCAGAAAAATTAATGTCATTCCAAAAACGTATGTAAGTTAGTAGTGTGCTACCTGCTGTCAGGAGATAACACCTGGTAACAGTCATCTGAGTCATGATTTTTGATTGACTCACAATCAGCTGCACATCTGGAATGATGAGTGCTGCTCATCATGGGCTATGCAATGAGCTGTCAATAACAGAAATAATTTCCAATCAGCAAAGAGCAGAAATCTGCACCTGTAGTGGGCACAGGGCACTGGAGCAAAACTGGAGAATAGAAAACTGCAAACATGGATTAATGAACCCGTATTTCTGATATCCAAAATTGAGGCTCCATGAATTCATGGAGAAAGTCCAGGCTGCTGCTGTGATATGTTGAATGTTTTCTTGCCATTCTTCATACACCTAAATAATAACAAATCACTGGTTGAATCTCAATTCGTCAGTTTTTTGTTTGCTGTATTCACTTGGTTGTGGGCAGAGTGCAGCATCTTCTAAAGGCTTGTTTCATAAATGTGACAGTGGATATAAGTGGCCTCTTTGGTCACCTGATCACCTTTGGGGAGTGGTATGTTAGTGAAAACCATAGCAGGAAAATCAAAGGCCAGGTTTTCCACAGTACTCTGCGGATGCACATGCTTTCCTTATCTGCCCTGCCCAGATTTGGATAATTAAATCACAGCCCATTAAAAAAAGTTAATAATCATAAAGGTTTATCAAAGTTCAATTATCTAATTGAACTTTGAGTATTAATCTGAACTGCTTGAAATGAAGGAAGCTAGTTTTCTTGTTTTGTTTTTGAAGACAATTCGCGTATCATGGCAGAAGCTTCTAGAAGTTCTGCAGCCTTGATTTCATGAGTGGTTTTTGCTCTAGTGCAAGTCCATCCAAGGATACTGTTTGTTGCTGTGTTTTCATTTTGTGTGTAATCGTATCTGCCCATCTGTGAATGGTTTCGCCATCATGTTACAGAATAAGAAAATTAGTGTGACCACAAACAAAGTTAAGAGCCGCAGAGCTCTGCAGACTCACAGTCCCAGTGAGTTATTGAGTAACCTTGTTCTTTTTCTCTCCAAACAACCCTGAGCACAAACCAAACCATTAATGCTGCACAGCTCCAAATGTTACTGTGGATGTTGATCAATAACATCCCTGAAAGAGTGAGCACAAGGTGCATTATGGGTTTATTAAAAAAAAAAAAAGCTGCAAACGGAGGACTCGAGGACATAGTTTGCAGACAAGTCTTCCTTACAGAAGTAAAACGAGGCTGTTTTAGCTGCCACAGCCTGGGCTGGTAGAGAGTAAAGTTGTAAGCAGTGAATGTCATTTTTTAAGATGTATTTTGTGATTTTGTGTAGTTGGATTGGTTTCCTATAAAGGTCTCAAGCTTATTGAGCAAATAAAATGCACTTGGTTTCTATTTCATTCTATATGATGACATGCATCTAAATCAATTTGGCATGTAGTGTTGTTCTACGTTGTTTTGCTTGATTTTGGATAAATAATTCCAGTTCTCAAGATAAGGATCATCCATCAGTCTGCCCATCAGTCCGCTCTGAGATAATTTCTCTTTGAAAGCAGGCTAACAGGGTCTCTCAGATAAAATGGTTTTTGGCTTTTTTTATGGAGGATCCTGGATGAGAGAGAAATGATCTCTCCAGAAGGTTATGGGACTACCCTTAGAGGCTCCTGACTGTTCGGTCTGCCTCCTACAAAGTGAAGAATCCACAAAGCATCCTGATCAGATGCCTTGACCTCCTCAGCTGTTTCTATCAGTGCAAAGCGGCAGTAGCTGTACTCCCTCCAAATGTGCGAGCTCCTCATCCTGCCTCTAAAGGCTGAGCCCAGGGAGCTTATTTTGACAGCTTTTATCCACAGCCTCATCCTTTTGGCCACTACGCAGAGCTTAAGAACATAACTGAGAGTTGGAACGTAGATCAAGTGGTAAATTGAGGGCTTCGTGTTCTAGCTCATGTTTATCTGTACCACAATGTCCTCATCACAGCAGATGCTGTGCTTCAACTCCCTCGGATGGGGCAGCAACTCTCCCACAACCCAAAACGAGCAATCAATTATTTAATTTAATAAAGTTGGCTTTCCACTGCCATTTTCTAATTTATTAGCAACAACTCTGTGTTTACAAAAACATTCCTCTTTACTTTTGTGTTTTTTATATGGTAAATGGTAAATGGCCTGTATTTATATAGCGCTTTACTAGTCCCTAAGGACCCCAAAGCGCTTTACATATCCAGTCATCCACCATTCACCACACATTCGCACACTGGTGATGGCAGCTACATTGTAACCACAGCCACCCTGGGGCGCACTGACAGAGGCGAGGCTGCCGGACACTGGCGCCACCGGGCCCTCTGACCACCACCAGTAGGCAACAGGTGAAGTGTCTTGCCCAAGGACACAACGACCGAGACTGTCCGAGCCGGGGCTCGAACCGGCAACCTTCCGATTACAAGGCGAACTCCTAACTCTTGAGCCACGATCGCCCCATATGTTTACCATTGGAGATAAACCACGTTTTTTGTATGGGGGGGACATTTAAAACGTGTCTCAATGATTTTAATTTGCTCATCTGATCAGTTTTGACCCTTTGGAAAAGATGCCAAGATTCTGCAAGGATGGTGGCAGAAGGAAACCACAAAACGTGTCTGTTTGTTCCTCCTTGCATTTTATTTAATTCAAAATCATAAAAGGAGAACGAACAGCTGTAGGCTACAAGAGTTGTGTTCACTATTTGCTCTTTGTCTCCATGAATGTTCCCTCTCATTGCCCATTTCATGCCTAATGACCCTGTAACCCTGTCAATGGCACAGAATATATACATATATTTGCACTGCTAGCAGTAAAGATACTGGTTACATCTTCAACTGATGGAAGTAATACTCAGTCATTTTGGGGGATGAACTCTGTTGTTACAGACTCTGCAGCACATTTTGTGGTTTCCTTCTTTATTTGAGTTTCTTTCTTTTCCAGGCAATAGTAGACCACTTTGAAGACAAGAGTTGTCCTGTGACGGAGCGCCTCAAAGTCTTTTACTGCTGCCAAGCACCACCCAGATGGGCTGTCCAGGTATTAGGTCCCTTTCTGTTTTTTTCCAAAACGTTCCGTCTGGTAAACTAAAAGGAAATTAACTAGCACTTTATTCACTTTGACTGTGAGAGTCTGTGTTTTTTAAAATTTATCATTAAAAAGATCTTTTGGACAGAGACTAATAATGTCACTGATGATACGAAACGATAATGTCTCGGTTAAGCATAGATTGAATAATTCGCATTAATGTCACATAAGTGCACCTGAGATGGAATACAATAACATTTTTGCTGTTATTTGGTCATAAACCTTGCCTTGATTGTTCTACCATAAGAAAAAGCGTCTGCTGTCCTTAAAACAAGAATTCACTAAACCGCTGACACGCCCCTTAGGCTTGCTGTTAAGGGTTTGAGAGCTACTTTCTAAATACTGTGAATGTTGTCACAGGGCTGACTTCATCCTCTTTCATTCCAGAGCTCATAGCTTGTATACTTAATGTTGTTGTTATCATACCTTGTCTTGTCCTATTCTAAATTCCTTTTTTGTTTCAAAATAAACTAAAGAAAAAGTAGAGATAACCAAAGTTATAATTAAGTTAACTCTTTAAGCATAGATAAGTGAATGGCAAATTAGATTAAAATTAATATTACATTTGGATTGAAATCAAGCGGTGTCATGCCCGTAACAGGGACAGAACAATACGACAAAAGGCCTCCAGGGCGGGGTGTAGGGGAAAAGAGCAGCTGTTCTAGTGCTTGCCCACGTGCTGCATTCTTCAAGTAGCAGCCTTGTCAAAGGTTATAATCAATAATGCTTAACTGCTGTTTGTTCTTGGCTAACAGAACGAAGAGCAATGCAACAATCAGCTCTGTTGGCTTTATCGTTGCCATTCTTTTGGCATGCTTGGAACATTTTTGGTCACCAGTAACAAATAGCTTACATCACCTTATGATTCTGGTGGGTGTACCACTAGAACACTGGTACTGGTCACTGCTGGCACAATGTTCAAAGAAAACACTAAACACAAGACAGTTCAGCTGTTATTTATAATGAAGATTCTTTGCCTTTAATAAGAATTCAAGTGCCTTAATTCTCATGGCATAGTTACATTTAACCACAAAGTCTCTTACATGACATCATCTGTTTACATAATTCAACCAAGGCAGATATCTGGTCAATAAGCCAATTTCCTCTTGGCCAGCACGTTAAGGCATTAAAATGTAATGTAGACAAATATTTATCATTGTCTGAGACAAATCTTTCCACCTCTCTGGCAGGTCATCCTTAGCTTATATAGTTCTCATGAGATCTCATACGTTTTTTTGGCTATTGAGAAATGTTTGTGATAATATTTGATTCTGCGGTCAGAGCTTCTATTCATCTGCATTTCTAATGGAGGGGCACCTCTCAGCAGCACTCTCCTAATTTAAATTCTGACTCTCTCAAGAACAAACTTTATCACCCTGAAGTTCTTCTCTGCTTACTCAGCGCATGTGACATAATTGTTATTATACTGGATTAAATTTTAAAAGAAAATCCACTCCTTGCTGCCACATTGTCTGTTAAGATTTCCAGTTTGCTAACGTACACATCCGCTCTACAGTCTTAAAGAGAACATCAGCTACTTGTAATGATATGATGATTTTATTTCATAGAGAACATGACAAAAACAGAAAAGCACCGAGTGACAACAGCTTGATTGTTGTAAAAACGTTCATCTAACTTACATACTTAAAAACCGTGTATGTAAATAACTTTTTTGGCTGCATACATACTGTGATGCTCAATTCAGATAAAAAAAAAACATTAGAACTCCGAGATGTCAGGTTAAGGAATAAGCATGATATTACCTATATTACGTTAGTTCTTCCATAATAGAACTAGAAAGGAGTGTTGCATACCACTGTTTAAGGTTTCTTGTTTGCTAGAGTAACAAAAGTTGCCCCCATATCTGTATCAAAAACTCTAATGTCACCTTTAATCCCATTGTAAAGTTATAGCGAGTTACTGGATGTAGAAGCACTTTATGTGTATGGGAATTTTATACTAGATTGATAGTTGACCTCTGGAGTTCACACCTTAACCACACCTGTACACCTTAAGCACTTTATCTGCCTTGCATCCATGGCCAATTTAGAATCAATAGTTTACTTAACGTGCATGTCATTAGGCTGTGGGAGGATGGAGTTCAGAGGAGGCCAGAGGACTCGGAGGAAGCCCACTCAGTCACAGGGAAAACTCCACATCAGAGTGGCCCAGCTGGGCAAATTGGCCACATTTTGATAAATAAATTGCACCTGAAAAGGAGAAACTAGCTGTGACATATTTTGATAAAATCTTTGCCTCTTTGTGTCTATGTTGCACCATTAAGCAAGTGATCAGCCAGATCCAGCTGACATTATTGCCAGCAGTGTTGTCCCAGGTAGGGTAAGGAAAGAGAAGAGGTTGAATAGGCAGTAATAGAAAGATTGAAGTAGGAGGAGTGTTGGAGAAAGGGAGAAATCAGTTTGGGAGGAAACATCACACAGGCAGCCGGTAATAACTGATAACAGCAATGAAGTTGGAATTGAAGAGTCTGCATTACCGTCTGGGGAGCTGAAAGTCTGTCAAGGAGGAGGATTGCAGCAGGTACTGCAATGCATTTTTCTGCCGGGGGTGGCTTTCTGCTTTTTCCGTCTCACACTTCGTTTTCATGACAAGCCATTTCATTTTTATGCCTTTAGGGTGAGGCCATTTTTATAGTTTACTTACAGCTGGTTTTGCACATTTCTGGTCAATAACCACACATCAGGTAGTGTATATTTTACATTGCTACTAACCAGTTTCTAAAGCATGCCATCAGTTGCTTCCCTATGTTTCACTGATTTCCATTAATTTCATGGTACTTTAAAAACTTGTGATTTCTTACAGTGGTGAGGTTGGATCTTCACTCATGTCTTTTACACTGTTTTCAAGCCTGCCTGATGGATGTACAGTAGTTGGCGCATCATACTATTGTAATGTCTTACAGATGAGTGTGGATGGTTACAAAAAAATTGCAGACACCCAAATGTCTGAACCCGGCGTAAAAATGTCTTAAAACTTGCATTTTTCTTTAAAAAAAAATATATAAAAAATCAGCATGTGGCTGGTCTGTGACCATAGCAAATATTTTCCTGTTCAGTTTATCAGTATAACTGTCGTTTTGTAAATTACGATAACTATTCATCATAAATGAGAATAAAACAATAGAGTCTTCCTGTCTTCTTTCCCATAAGTCTACAACTGCTAGAAGCACTTTGATATTATATTTCTCCATGCTAACGCTAACACAGGTCACACAGAACTAACTAACACAGTGAAATTGAATGTAGATAGATTATTTATTTATATACACACACATACATGCATATATATATGTGTGTGTGTGTGTGTGTGTGTGTGTGTGTGGTGTGTGTGTGTGTGTATACATACATACATACATACATACATACATACATACATACATACATACATACAACAAATGGATGGACATAAATTATAAATTATTGGTATAGAATATTTTGTTCCATATCAGTCAGAGCAAGTTTTATCTGATTTCGTCATCAGATGCATTTATATGCCTTCATGGTTATAGAAGTTGTTAAAGATCTGCAAACAGTATTTTGCATGAATGTTAGCTTTCTAGCATGCTAATATAAAATGTGCCTCTTCTGTCACTCTATTAGCGTTGTCATAGTGAGCACCTTAGCATGCCAGCAGCCTCAACATGGTTCAGACGTCTTCGCTTTATTCTCTCCCTGTGTACAGAAACAGCTGGCCAGCCTTCTGATGGATCTCGGCTGCATCAGTTCAGCTGTACTCATTTATGAAAGGCTGGAGCTCTGGGAAGATGCAATTATCTGCTACGAGAGACTCGGCCAACACGGAAAGGTACACGCTGATCTTAACATTCCTGAACTTAACTGAATATTAAACCACTAATCTATGTAAATGAAGTCGTTTTAATGTTCATACAATTGTTCTTATTCCCTAAATCCTTCACTTAATCTAGACAACATTTCTAAGTTGTATTATTAGAAGAGGTTTTTCCAGCAGCTTGCTGTTTGAATAATCAAAATCATCTAAAAGCAATAGTGCTTAGTTTAACATTTTTTAACTATATTTTGAGTTGATATGAATTTGTTTTAATACTTCATGGTTTCTTTATTCACATAAATAGTGTAACACTTACTGTATGTAGGCAAGAGTAATGTAAAATCAAATTAAATGTTTCATTTTCTCTTAAACAGACCCTAGTTACTTTGGTAGAAATCATAAATGACACATATTTTTTAATCACAACCCCCACAGTCACTATCTGTTCTTTTCCTTCTATCTGGGGTTTTGTTGGATTAAATCATCTTTATTGAATTCTAGATTCTCTTATCTCGTGTAATAGAGAAACCTTTTCACATCTAGGAAAATCAGAATCAGAATCAGAATACTTTATTGATCCCTGGGGAAATTATTTTTTGTTACAGTGCTCCATTTTAAACCAACATTAAGACAAGACAGACAATACGCTAACTAAGAATAGTACAATATATACATATATATACATACATACATACATAAGTCACTTATAAATAAATATTTGGAAAAGAAACGTGTAGTTGTAGCAGCAAACAGTGTGTTAAGTGGATGCGTTGTACAGGGAGATGGCCACAGGCAGGAAAGATTTCCTGTGTCGTTCAGTGGTGCTTTTCGGTAATCTCAGTCTCTCACTGAACGAGCTCCTGTGACTGACCAACATGTCATGGAGTGGGTGGGAGGTGTTATCCAACATTGTCTTTATCTTGGACAGCATCCGCCTCTCCGACACCACCTTGAGGGAGTCCAGCTCCATCCCCACAACATTGCTGGCCTTACGGATCAGTTTATTAAGTCTGTTGGCATCTGCGACCCTCAGCCTGCTCCCCCAGCATGCAACAGCATAGAGGATCGCACTGGCCACAACAGACTCATAGAAAATCCTCAGCATTTTCTGGCAGATGTTGAAGGACCTCAGTCGCCTCAAAAAATAGAGACGACTCTGGCCCTTCCTGTAAAGTGCTGTGGTGTTTTTAGCCCAGTCCAGTTTATTGTCAATGTGTACTCCAAGGTATTTATAGTCCTCCACAATGTCAACACTGACCCCCTGGATTGAAACAGGGGTCAAGTGTTTCCTGGTCTTCCTGAAGTCCACGATCAGTTCCTTGGTCTTTGCCACGTTGAGCTGCAGATGATTCTGCTCACACCACGTGACAAAGGAGTCGACCACAGCCCGGTACTCTGTCTCATCATCCCTGCTGATGCATCCAACCACCGCAGAGTCATCAGAAAAAAACATTAAAGGTTTCCATGATATTTGAAGAATTTCCTGGCTATGGGATAGCTACAATATTTCTTATCTTATCAGGAAAAAAAGAGTCAGAAAAAGATTTTAATCCTATAATAAGACTGGAAAACTTTTGTCTATTCCAAGCTGTGGTTAACTCTCTGCAGATCTCTGTTCACAGCAGCACAGATGGTGTGATTTACATGTCAATTGTAGATTTCAAACTAAATGATTTGATGCTCATTTGGCAGATCGGTATTTTAAACTGGTTGTCAAGGCCAAATTAGAGGTTGTCAGTAATTAGTGATGAAGCGATCGGGGGGAAAAAGTCAAAAATCAGGATAACTGCACTTCTACTCATCTTTCCCTTGGTCATTATTCAAAATTGCAATGACTTTTTATTCATAGTTTCAACGCAGAAGACATATCCTTAATTACTTTACTTCAGCATATAAGAGTAACAGAAATATTGATATCTTACAGTGAAAAGGGTATTAATGGATTCTGATTAATCTGAAAAACTGGATTTTGTGTATCTTCTTGGTCTTAATTTTGTTTTACTGATAACTTTGTCATAATCCTTCGGGAATGTAAACAGGAAGTATAATGTTGACTTTCACTACAACATGAGCCTCATTTGTTAGCTTGTTTACCTTTTGTTAGAACTCCCTTGGATTAGCCATCAGGATTACAGACTTCCAAGACTGGAGCATGTGATTTTTAATCCCTTGCCAAAAAATGTTCTTCTCATAGCATGATGCTAGGATTACGGTTCACTTCACTTCAATACCATTTTATTTAAATAGCACCAAATCACAACAGCAGTTGCCTCAAGTTGCTTTACATTGTAAGGTAAAAAAATTGTAAAGTATTTAATTTATCTGAACTTGTACTGCAGCTGCAAATGCTGACCGTGACTAACTTTGTATTGTTTTTAAACTAAAGGGGTAATGTCCCCTGTAGGCTCTGGATCTGTCAGAGATCTCCACTTACACATAGCCACAAACCACAAAGGGAGTCGCGGAGGAAAAGCTCTGATGCCTGAACATCACCATGTGGCTCCTAACCAAGTCCTATTACTTCATGTTCTTTTAAGGAGGGCGCATTCTCCACCCTCCAGCTGAACAAAGAGATTGTTATATTCATAAAAGCATTATCAGTCTGGGAGTATAACCAATTCATAGGCCAGCACTCACCAAGGACATTCTTACCTGCCTGTCAAGAGTACAACACAATTCTTGCTGTGATTGTGCTGCGAGAAGTGATCTCGGCGTTTAGATTTAGGTTTGAGTTTAATTCCAAAGACATCCAGTGAGGACCGTGTTTAGAAATAATTCAGTCATTCACTCAGTCATAACATTACTAAGTTTTGATCACTATTGCATCAGATAGTTTTAACTCCGATGATTTTAGTCAGCCATGCAGAAGTGTGGACAGAGACCCAGTACAACTACAGAGACGGTTAAAAGCAGATGTCAGCACGTATGCTGTCTGCAGCTGTGTGTACACTACTAATATTCCTCTTATCTCTTATATGCATGCACAGAGAAGCATTAGTGCAAAACTAGCAACATATTTATGTATGCATTATATATGCATACATGTATAATGTATATATGACACTAATAAGCAAAGCCAAAACAAACATGGCACTGATTTAGTGCTGGTAAACACATTTGCAGCAGAAACACCAGATGACAAATGTTTTCTTTTCAGTTTAATATGATGGATGGACTACTTAACAGACCTAGCAGACACAGGGCCCATGACTGCTCGGGTAACGTTTCTTGTTGGAAAGTCAATGACATTACTGCAAAAAGATGCAAAATGACGGAAAAATTCAAAACAATCACAAACAGATGCAAAATGAGCACACAGGGATACAAAATGGCAACAAATACAAAAAAGTAATTACAGGGAGACACAAAACAATAAACAAAGAGCTAAAAACAAACAGTTAACACAGATGCAAAATGACAACAACAGGAACGATCACCACAGTGAAATGCAAAAAGATCAGAGAGAAACAGAATGAAACACAAAAAGATGCAAAATCACAGCAAAAAGTGGAAGAACTGGGGGAAATTGAGAGGCCAAATGCTGTTTTCTCCATACTGATTTAGACTGTTCATAAGGCAAAAACCTAGAAAGATGAAATTAAATTCCTACTGGGTCTAGGTAACGGATCAAACACTAGATTGCGCCAATTATGTGTTTAACATACCCAGTACTCAAATCCAACTCGGTTATGAAATGCAGATGTGCATAAATGATGTGTGTGGATGTTGAGCATTGACCTGAACATTTAACCTGTCTGTTTGTGAAGAGCTCTCAGCAGGACTCTAACAGCCTGTCAGTTCTTTGTTTGTCAGTTACAGTGTCTATTGTGTCTGATTTGATTAGTCAGGTTGCTTTTTGCTAATAAAAAGTGCAGTGCCCTTCTCTAGTCTTAAACCATGTGCTGTGGTAATTCCAGCCAATAGTCTGTGTTATGTACTCACTGAGATCCAAAATAACAAGGCCGATCCACTTGTCTGGAGTGGTTGGGATTCTGTCCAGCACTGCTTCTCCGTTATCCCCTACACTCCCTTTTTGCTCTGTCATAATGACATTGTTTCATGACGTAATGTAATGTCGGACATAAATAATGAAAGAGACTGCTGTGTTCAGCATGGCTCACAGCTCGTCTCTGTTTAACTAAATGTTTGCATTGCATTTGCCCAGCTGCAGTAGAAGTTGCAGGCTGAACACTTGGATGTTTAGTGGTTACGTTACATCTTCATTGCTGTTAAAATGTCACTTTGTTTTGTTCTTTGTTTTTTTTTTTCTTACTAGCAAGCATGTGGAAACCATCCCATTAGTTTCTAAACTCCACATTTTTCCTAAATATTAACAGATAAAACAGTATTTCAGCCACTGGCATGTTGTTTTTTCTGAGCCTAAAATGACCATATTTGGAAAAGAGGGTGAAGTGCTATGCTCTTAACTAATGACTGTATTCTGCAGTCTGCAGGGAGATACCTGCTAATTATGCCAACTAATAAACAAGTAGAAATCCAGTCATCAGAAATGAAGCACAGATGTCAAGAATTGACAATTTATTTATGAGATATTTCCATTAAATTACTTTAAAAACACCAACAGCAAAAACGGGTTCAAAAGATCTATATTAAAAACTGAGACTTCAGTCTGGATGTCTTGGTACTGATGTTTCAGAAGTTGGACTTCTCTCCTCCATAGATCCCAGTAGGTCCCAGTCTTTTTAACAACATTTGTTTTCATAGAAAAGCAGTTAGCACAGGAATAGCAATTACCCTTGGTATACTGCATTTCACAGTGTCTTCTTGCTCAGCCACCATCCTTCAAGTCCACGTGATTGATCTGCACTTCTGGGGGTACTTTTCAGAATAAATTTGTTCAACCTTAAAACTAAAATGACCTGAAGTTATCCTCATAATGTTTTATGCACTGTTGAATTTTCTCAGAAAACAGTATGACTACAGTCATTATCTGCCTCACGCATTAATATGTAATATGCAAATACTAAATTAATCTGAGACGCACCCGCTCGAGTCTGGGAGCGACATTTAACTTCAGACAGATCAGATGAATTTGTTTTCCATGTTTGAGTTATAGTTTAGATTAAAATTCAAAGTAATGGTCTTAATAGGTGTGTGTGTCTGTGTTACCGTATTATCTTTAATTAGGGAATGTTGCATGGGGTACAACCTGCTCAGCGTTGTGTAGTTTAGATAAGTATGATGGGGTTTCTCGTTCCTAATCGGGCTGGGCTGTTGGCCCAGCATCAGCCCCATGACAGCAAAGGAATGCAGTGAACCTAAGGCTCTGTCAAACCTCAGAGGCCCTCGGCTCGCTAGCAGTGGTTAGATTGGCACTCTTCACAACCTAAATCAAGACAGAGGGATTTGGAAAGAGAAAACAATCTCATTATTCCACCCTCACAAGTGCGTGAGCTGCAATCCAAAACATGTAGTGGCAAGACAAAGTGCACCGAGTGCAAATGTCCACAGGTAATTTTACAGCTACTATACTTGTAACATAATCCCTATGTTAATTTTGTTTTTCTGTCAGACTTCATTCCTAGATCTCAGCCTGTGTTTTGATACTTTTGTTTTGGTTTGGGGTTTTTTTTTGCTTCTCGTAGTGTTAAACTATGTCCTGCCTATGAGTAGATGGGTAGGATAAGGTATTCATATCTCCTGAGGAGCGGTGAAGAGGAGATCTTTTAATAGAGCTCTTACAAGTCATTAAAAAGTCTTAGAAAATGTGAAATGACAATTTTTCAAAAGGTCCTCAGAATATCTGAAATTTGCCATCAATTGATGGTAGGTGTTAAATTTGCAGCGTAAAGAAATATAATCAATCTGATTATCATTAAGTTTTACTAAGTGTTGCAGTTTTATGTCACTTGGTTATTATTCTTCCCCTGCACTTAACTAGGCAGGTAGATAACAATCGTCACACGAATAAAAACCACACCGTTGTTCTTTTGTGGTCGTTTATGTCCAGTTGGATACATAGCATGGATTTTGATGAAAGAATAAATTGTAAAACTGTAAATAAGACACAAAATATCATGTGTGATCTGATATGCGTAAACATTCTTTTACAATTAGAAAATGCTGTGACCTTTAAGCATCATAGGCTATACTTCCTTACCATATAAATTGAAGCACAACGAAATAAGCTAATGGCTAATTAGCGTCTAGGCTAATGTCTGATACAGCACATCTTTAGGTGAACTCACTTGTACAAACTATTACAAGCAACTCACGGCAGCTAGTGCCAAACACACAATAGTAAAATACAACATTACTGCCAACTAACAGACTGTGTTGGCTTAAAATGTAGCAAAGGCAGGCAGGAAGTAGCAAGAGGTGCTATTCCGGTAGGATGTCAACTAAAATGGACAGTGTAAAAATGCCCCTAAAACAAATAAAGACACTATGAACCTATTTAACACCACATGATATCTAGGGCGACTCTTGGGGATCATTCACATGTATTTGAGACATGCTTATGTACTACATGTAAAACACTCACAAGCCTAGTCTGAGCTGGTGAGATGTGTGTCAGCTGCCTCTGACCTATCCTCATATAAAATGCCAAATATTTGTTTTGCTTTTTGGTGCTCCAAGAAATCACGACAAGGGTTTTATAAGGTAGAACATATTTTGCTGTTACATGCATGATTAATATGATATATCACAAAAGTTCATCTTTGTTTTAGGCTGGCCATCCTGACATTAAATTAAGCTATTAATGGTTGACCTGATTAGTTAACTTATGTAAGCAAGTACCTATATTGAAAAGAAAAATGCACTGTTTCTAAGATTGTATTAAATTGTAGATGAAGTTGGAGGCATTCAAAAAGGTCGACGCTGAGGTATATTCCGTATGTCCTAACATCTAACACAGGTAGATATTAGTGTTCATGTTGCTATGTTTGGAAATGAAATCAGTTAAATTCCACCTAAAATCCAACAAACATGGGAGCTGAATGCAGTTTCGCATGTCTCATCTGAACTCACCTTTGTTCTTCTCTGTTTGTGCTCAGGCCGAGGAGATTGTGTGCAGGGAGCTGGAGAAGAAGGAGACACCTAGTCTGTACTGTCTACTAGGAGACATCTTGAGGGAGCATCAGTATTACGACCGTGCATGGGAGCTGTCAGGTCAGCGCAGCGCCAGAGCTATGCGCTCCAAAGCCCTGCTACACCTCCGCCACAAGGAGTTCCAGCAGTGCGTCAACTGCTTTGAGCAGTCGCTCAAAATCAACAGCATGCAGGTACAAGCAAATCATCATTCTCTCACATTTGTCTATAAAGTTTAATAATAATTTACTCTTTTAAACTTTTTTCATGTTCAGCAGTGCACAAGAATGAATTATTTTCTCAACTGTACTAAAAGTTGAGTGTGCCAGTGATCACTATTACATGTGTAAGAATGGGTCAGACCTACAGGTGGTTAAAATGCTGGGCCCGTTCTGTAGTCTCTACACTGGTCCCTGTTCACCTTTCAGTGTTTTCCACAGATTTAGTTTGGCTGAGGTGTAAATTCAGTGAGTCTAGAATCCTGCAGATGAATTTCAACTCCACCATCCTGGACTGTGGTTGGTGACTGTATTCCTGTTAAGGAGGCTGTTAGAGTGCAATGCAACTGGTGACATAACAGAAGTTTTGTACTAGTTGCAGTCCAACTCAGTAAAGTATGTCTAACTGCTAGCACAAGATCTTCTTTGTGAAAGCACCTGAAGGATGTCAAAGAACACTACAACCTAGTGATCCAGCTGGTGGAGAAACACTGTCTGAAACCTTTGAGCAGTGGAACTGGATAATAGACATGTACAAGGTCACCATTATACAGCCATGCGTTACCTAGTTAGAGCAAGCATGGCACGAGCCACAGGCACAGCAACCAGATTTAGTCATGAATTTAATTTGTTCAAAATGTAGTTACATGTTCAGATTTTTAGACATCAGGTACAAGATACAAGACAATTAAACCCATCAGTGTAAGTGGGATCACTGATATTTAATTAAAACACCTCTATGCATAAGTACATATTAACAGAGCAGCTGGGATAGATTCTCAGCCTGGTCAGGATTTTAATCTTTCTTTGCTTTGTTAACACACACTTTCATTTCAGGGAAATATCTGTGCCTTAATTTAACACTTCAATACAAACCTTTTTTGTGTGTGTGTGTGTGTGTGTGTGTGTGTGTGTGTGTGTGTGTGTGTGTGTGTGTGTAGCTCGGTGTGTGGTTTTCTCTTGGTTGTGCCTACTTTGCCCTGGAGGGCTATGAGGGAGCTGCTAAGGCTTTCCAGAGGTGTGTGGGACTGGAGCCAGACGTGAGTACCTACACACACAGTCTTTCTTTTTAGGGACACTCTTTGACATAATGTCTTTTCTCCAAGTCCATCCTTAGTTTTAAAGGCCAAGTAATGTGGGTTTGCTTGAGGCTGCTAGTGCATGGAGATTTCTTTAACACAAATAAATCATGCAGTTTATTTCAGTAATGTCCAAAGCATCAACTACAGCTTTATGCTGCATCTTTCACTTTTGGGAACTGGACAAAGTCAAAGGGAGGCAAATCTGGCAGGTGGTTCATAGAGTTGTGTTGGTGGTGACACGGGCATGTACCACTGTACAGGTTGGCATTGACTACGCACTTTGTTTTGTCCTAATGCTGGTAAGCTTGCAGGACTGACAGACTAATAAAATACTCAAATTTCACTTCTTGGATGGTTGTACCAAGCAGAGGGCCATATTAAATTACATATTACATAACATTATTTTAGTGACAGACATGGAGATGTCAAGTACAGTGAGTAGAACAAGTAGATGTGAAGCTAGTAGACAACAATCAACTACTGTTGCATGTGTATAGATGTCAAAGGAACTACATGGCTCACTTTACGCCTTGCGTAATGGAAAAAGGGCACCCTGCAGACAACTGTTACGAAGGGGAGATTTTCTGTAGACCACTGGAAAAAATGTTTTAAACAGGCTGTAAACATGCTTTTTAATGAAGTGAAGTTTGTGGGAGTCTCTAGACAGCCTGAAGTGCTAACTGAGCTAACGCAGTTTGTGGCAGTTGTGATTATTTTTCAGTCTCGGAGGTTGTTTCTGCTTGGTCCTCCCAAAGTGAACGTTTCAATAAATTTATGTTCATAGCACACAGTTAGTGCACAGCAAATATATAGACGCTAGCCGTCTCTCATTTCAACTCATTTGGTGAGGGTTTAATAGTCACTCCAGCTTTTCTTTATGTGCATAAACCTGAAAATTGTGTCTTGTAGGATTTTTTTGTTATTCTTTACTTCCTTTTCCCCACTGTCTTCTTTCCCTCACTGACCTGTGTCTCGCCCAACCCCCTACCCCACCTTCACCCAGAATGCAGAAGCATGGAACAACCTTTCTACAGCTTACATTCGCCTCCAAATGAAGTGAGTATGAGTGTAGTGCATATTGGAAACTTGTTGGTGTAAGAACGTGTGTGCCAGGTAATAGAATGGGTTGACTTTTGTCCAATAGGATTTCTGCCGTAAGCAGCAAAGTGTTTGAAACCATCCACACCCAGCAGACTGGAAAACGCTCCAGTAGTCTTTCAAAATAACTTGGGCAGGATAAATGTGCCCAAAGGTGATGATGACAGAAAGGTCAGAGGTCAACTGCATCTAAGTTTGTCCATATCTCTCTAAATTGCTATTGATGGTATTTAGTTTCTAAAACAGAATGACATACACCTCCATGTAGTGGATTTTACCTCCCACCTTAGTTATCTCTTCAGATTTCTAAACTACAGTCTCTGGGAGCATTCCTAAGGTTCTTCCTTATGCTTCTTATTTTACACTAGTCTTCTTTCAATATGACGCTGGATGTCCACCTTATTGAAACTACAATGTGCAGACTGACTACAAAACGTGCTCAACGTACTCTACTGGTCAAAAGTTTTAGAACACACCCCATTTTTCCATTTTTTTTTATTGAAAATTATGCAGTTTGATGCCTCATTCCACTCTGAAAAGAAAGCACAATACAAATAATCAATTGGAATTATCAAAGAAATCATGGAATCAAAATGTATCTTAAACTTCTCAAAGTAGCCACCTTTGGCAGATATAACAGCTGAACACACCCGGGCATTCTTTCTACAATAGAAATCAAATATTGTTCAGAAAGTTCTTCTCATATCCGTTTCCAGTTTCTATAAATGTGTGACACTTGTAGGTTGCTTTGCTATCACTCTTCTGTCCAGTTCATCCCAAACCAGCTCGATGGGGTTTGAGTCTGGAGACTGTGCTGGCCACTCCATGTTTTCAAGCTTACCATCTTGTTCTTCTGAGGTAGTTCTGGCACAGCTTGGATGTACGTTTTGGGTCATTATCTTGCTGTAGGATGAACCCCTGACCAGCTAGGCAGATCAGAGGGTTTTGCATGGTGCTGCAGAATGCTGTGGTAGAACAACACACTTCCTCCTCCATGTTTGACAGTTGATGCCACACAGTATGGAGCCATCCCTTCGCCTACAGAGATCCTGCGTGAAGAACCGAAGATTTCAAATTTTGATTCATCAGTGCATAATACCTTCTCCAGACTTCAGTAGTCCTATGGCGGTGTTCCATGGCCCAGCCAAGCCTCTTTGTCTTATTCTGACAAAGAGACAAACCTGCAGCTCAAAGTCTTCTCTTCACAGTTGAAACTGAGACTAAGCTGTACTTGAAGCCATTGTCCCGTGAACTCTCAGAAACGTGTCCTCAGATTCATTTGTGGCGTTGGGTCTGCCAGACCTCTTCCTGTCAGAGTTTCTGAGTCCCTTTTGATGGTGAAGGAAACTGTGCTCACTGACATCTTGACTTTATTTGTGATTTCTCTGTAGGAACGGACTGCATTTTTAAGTGTCATGATGGTCTGTCTCTCTTCCATTGTTAATTACCTTTCTCTCAACATTTTTGTAGCAACACACTACTTTCTGTAGTCAATACTGTTCAACTGATGCTCACGAGGCTATGGCACCACAGTGTGTTCCAACACTGCTTTTATGCAGACAGAGGGGGCTGTAAGTAATCCAGAAAAGTTGGAACACCTATAGGAATTAGTAGCCTTTGTAAAGACAAAAAGGCAGATGCTGTGTAGATTAAAGTAATGTTACTGTCAATATGAGAAATGGTCTGTCAAATTCTATTAACAGGTCGGGGTTCGAATCCAGAACATGGTCCAGTTATTGTGACCTAGGTTCTATTATAGCCACAAGTCATTACATTTTGATAGTGAGCCATATTTATTAGAACTCAAAGTCAATCATAACGAAAGCAAATGGTAGATAAGACTCAGGGGAATGAGGCAAAAATGACAAATGAATGACCAGAAAGACAAAATGTCTTCAGACTGATGCTGACACTGCACTCTGTTGCCCACTGAGGTGGAAAACTTGGAAAATCTCCACATGTCCATGGATGAGAATAATGCCAGTCAGGGTTTCTGCTACTGGGTTTCAGAACATTTTTGAGAATATGATCTGACACCTGATGCTTACGAAGCTTACGAGTGCCAATCACAGGGAAACGGATAAAGGAAATGCTATGCATTTGTTCCGGTAAGGTTAGCATAAAGTTATGCATTAGACTCTGCCAGGCTCATGACAGGACAACACACTGAGTCACACTGTACAAAGAAATAAAAATTCAAAATGAATACAGTTTTGTCAGCTTAAAAAAATCAGCGATTTAACTGGAAAGTTGTTTAATGTTAAGACCAGTCTTACGAATGGACTTGAACCTTCCCAACTTAAGCATTGTAACATGAATGCACATATGGGTAAAGCTTTTAATTAATTTAACCAACATGCATGTCATTGGGCTTGAATGGAAGGTCAATTAGTGGTCAAACAGTACAGATTAGATGCTGAGTTGTGGTGCAACACAAACTGAAAGTGCAGAGATGGCGCTTCAGTAAGTTCAGAGAGATATTTCAGACAGTAGTTCATTTTAATTTTAGTTTTATTTATACAGCAACAAACCAAAGCAACCATTGCCTCAAGACCCCTTATATTGTAAGGTAGAGACCCTATATAACAGCGGTTCCCAACCTTTTTTGCGCCACGGACTGGTTTATGTCCGACAATATTTTCACAGACCGGCCTTTAAGGTGTCGTGGATAAATACAACAAAATAAAACCAGTACCGGTACCAAAAAACAAGAAAATATATTCATAAAACACGTGAAAAGAACCAGGAGAAACCAAGTTATCGATAAAAACGATAAAAAATAAAGATAAAAAAACGATAAAAACCCCAAAAAACATAAATTTCACACCCGAGCCTCACCTCTCGCAGCCTGGTACTAAACGACTCACAGACCGGTACCAGTCCGTGGCCCGAGGGTTGGGGACCGCTGCTATATAATACAGACAAAACCCCAACAGTTACACAAACCTCTTTGAGCAAGCACCTGGCAACAGTGGTAAGGAAAAAATCCCTTTCAACAGGAAGAAACCTCTGGCAGATCAGGGAGGGGCGGCCATCTGCAGATGTTATGAGAGACACAACAAAAGAACACACTGTGGACAGCAGTGAAAAGCCTTCTCTTGACACTAAAAAGCTACTGGATGTATTAAAGAGGGTCATTTCTGTGGCTGATAGTTTGGGACAAGAGTGTTTTTGCAGCCTTGTGGCATAAAGAGTTTCCCTTTCAGGAAAAGAGTATTTAAATGAATCAGTTGTACTGAATTTACTGCATATTGCATAAAATCTGTGAACAAAAATCACGTCTTATGCCTGTTGTAGTTGTGATAGTTACTGCTAGGAGTGTTGGTTTTTAGTAGAGGGAGATGTTTTCTGAATAAGTGTGCAGTCTGCACTTGGTGTGCTTTGCAGCTCAAAAGTTTGTATCGCCAAAACTTGCTCTGTCCTAAAGCTCTTCACTTAGTCATCATGCTGAGGTTTTAGGGGGAAACCCTAATTATTGCTTCTCAATATACTGAGACTTTCATGAAACAGAGCAGAAGTTAACTGTTTTTGTTGTCAGCAGTAACTGCTTTAAAACGGAGGCTGTTGTTCATCTGTAGTTAGTGTAGACAGTCCTCAGCTGGTGTCAGTGTCTGCTTACTGTGGAGGACTGCGTGCGAACTGTGAGCTTCTTTTTGATCTAGCTTCATCGTTAAATCTGTGTGGGGGGGAAACAGCTTAGTGGAATGGAATTTATTAATATTCAACCATTGTCTTTCTTCCCTAATGTCTATAAAAGGAATTTAGACCAAAGTAATTCTGAATTGAACTGTATGACAAACTTGCCATTACAGATGAGTGAAGTCGCTCTCATTCAGGGTGTCCCATGCTGTCATTTAGTCATTCAGAAGTAAATCCAGTGCATTCTTAAGCTTTGCTGTAAAATAGTATCTCGCCTGTCCCAGTTTACAGTCATCTCTGCCTGCCTGCTGAGACAGTCTTCACAGCAGTCGTTACAAGCATCAGAACTTCCCAGAACTTTGTAACCATCCAGACAGTGTTCAGATATTTATTTATGTATTTATAATGTACAGATAAACAAACAAACAATAAAAATACTCCAAATAAAAATATGTGAAGTTCTTCATTCCAGCCCATGTTCGTGTCTCTGTGTTTTTTGTTTTTTTTGTAATTTCTGGCTGTGGGGGCTTTTCAGATACAGAGGTAGACTTTTAGCCCTTGACAGCAGCCTTCTGTCCGTTCGGGCCTGAAACCGAAGCAAAGCAGGCGAGTTTTTAATTAATACCTGGTTAGTTCTACTGCCAGTTAAGCTCAAGCAGTTTTGAAATGAACCAAGCCTAGAACTTCCTAGAACTCTGTTCAACACATTTAATGATCTACTTCTAACTTGTCTCTCCTTTTTGTCATTGGCAGAAATAAGGCTTTTCGAACCCTGCAGGAAGCCCTTAAGTGTAATTACGAACACTGGCAGATCTGGGAGAACTTCATTGTTGTTAGCACTGACATCGGAGATTTTGCTGAAGCCATCAAGGCATACCACCGTCTTATGGACCTGAGGGAGAACTACAAGGACATCCAGGTACATGACTGCACTTAGTCTCTTCTTTTGTTCCATGTAGAATGGGGAAAACATTTATTCTAGGCTGCGTGTCTAATGAGACACAGCTTGGCAAACAATAAACTATACCTGGCTGGATAAAGCTTCTCAGGGGCAATCTATGTCTCCTGAAATCTGTTAGGTTTAGCTCACCATGGTCAAAAATAACAAATAAAAATGTCTGACTTGAACACATGAGACAGAGCTGTGAAGCAGGAATTGGTCCCTTTGCTCTCTGTATTTCTTTCACCTTGCAGTGCTCCTAATAAGTTGCACCAATTAACTGACTTTCTGTAAATGAAGCTTTGTCTGTGTTGAAAGGAAGAACTTTTGAAACAAAAGATATACATTTCTCTAAATTCTGGAATACTTGGCTCAAGTTCAGCGTTTTGGCTTTATCCACCTCTTCTACTCTGTGCAAAGTCTCAGAGCTTTGTGAGACGGGGAAACGTGATTTGTTGTCCAATCACAACACACCGAGCAGGTGAAACTGTTAATCTTTATCACTGTGGTCACTCATGCCGAGTCATTTAGAAACTCTGAAGGAAAAGCCTCTTGTAGTCACAGCTCATTAATTCCACAGCAACTGATGCATTCTAAATAAGAAATTAACCATCAGCTTTGAATAAACAAGGCGAGACAGCCAGTGGTAGTATTTCCATTGTTAATGGTCTGCTTCAGCCCTGCAGTCATTTTACTCACATAGTTTTGAGCAATTAACTTTGAAGAAGACGTCTTCCAGCCTAATGGGAATGGATAAAATCACAGCTCTGACTCAGAGATCCTGTGGGCCTCGGAATTAAATATACAAACAGTCACATTTATCCCACAATACATGATCTTCTTCTTTTCTCTCTTTTGTTGTGTCCCTCTTTGTCGTCTCTGTTTCAAACAACCAAAATGGTCATTTATGCAGGTTGTGTCCTGGTCAGCCTCATCAATAAGGTTGGCAGATGTAAAAGCACACCGGTTGAAAAGGTCAGCAGCAGCAGCTTCAGAGCAGCTCACTCAGTCTTTAGTTCTCTGCTTGCCTCCTCCTCATTTTTAAATATCTTCTCAGAACACAGTTTTCTTGAACAGTTTATTAATGGCCGACAATCTCCTACAGACAACCTAACACCAAAGCCCTTTCATGGAAAAGAGCATGAAATTGCACATTTAAGGAGTGCTGTAAAAGGAGTGTTTAGTAATATCAACTGTGACTAATGATAGCTCAGTCACACTAGAGTGAGAACAAAACTACAACCTCCTTGCAACTAGGAAAAATTGGGAATTGTATTTTTTTAAAATATCAAGCAACAGATTGCAAGTAGTCATAGCAACCACTTTTTTGTGTGTTAGAATTCGGTCCCCGAACAGCTGCAGTCTGACTCAGACTCCAGGCTTCTACAACGATGGCCCAAAGCTCTTCCTTGAATCTTGCCTGCCTTTTGTTCTGTTCTCTGTCTAGATAACCCCACACTGCTCCAATAATGTTGAGATTCAGGCTCTGCAAAGGCCAGCCGCGACCGGCCCACTGCCCACATGTGTGTTCAACTTTGTTTTAAATCCAGGTCAATCTGTTTGGCCTGGATTACAGATGGTACTGGTGGATCAGAATCTCACTGTACTTTTCTGTGTTTATAATTCAGTGAACATAGAACTTGTTCAATTTTGACAAGCTCGCCATTACCACTGCCTGAAGTGCTGCACCAAACCTTGACAGAAGCTCCACTGTGTTTCACAGATGGCTGCTGCTTTTGATATTCAGTCCAGTTCCTGTGTAATTTGGCATACACCTGCCTGTCCTGATTGTTTCCCTTCCTTAAGAGTAGCTTCTGACAGCCATCCCTCTTCATTTGTGGCATTTTCAACTTCTGGCTTTTTTCCTGCTTTAATCCTCTACTCGATCTTTTTTCTTGTTAAATTATTCCAATTAATTCAAGGTGCTTTTTATGTAATAAAAACATTTGAATAATAAAGCAAATAAGGCTTTAAAGGGTAAAGTTCAGAAACCAATGGCTGATGTTGCAGTCTTCTGTATTTTGTATAATGTAGATGTCAAACTCGTGCAGATCATCATCAAGGGAACGCGATTAAAACCAGTCCAAAGTCAGCGGCACCTGACTTTGGACTGGGTCATTTCAACAGCACTAGCGATGTTGAATGCCGATTTGCAACAGCCAGGCCCGTGTGTGCTGGCGTGTATGAGATGATTAAATATTTTTATATGACTACTTTAATAAAATGTAGTACTGTCCCCTAAGTTCATCACCGAAAAGTCTGTCAAAGCTTGAAAGTCTGTACTTTAAATAGCTGTTCTATTTTTACCCGTCTGTTTTTACTTCGATTCACCTTAAAATGCTGCTTTGCATAACTGGTGGTGACAGACTATGTTAATTTCCTTAGATCACAGTAACAAATTTAGAAGCAACGTTTTTGCCTTATTTCATTTTATGTGCTTTTTGTGTTAGTTTTTCATCGCAGGCTCAGAAGGTGGGAGGGGCCACCAAGGATTGCTGTCCTATGGAATGTGGAAAGGGCTACTGACAAGAGGAGCTGGTGGTCACATGACTCAGCTTTTGTGCCTCATGGGGTTAAATGGGGGATATAGACGCACATGCATTCATTTCCTTACAGTTACTATGCACAGGGAGGAGATTTTCTTTTCCATTTTTGGGTAGAAATGAACTTCCTAGAAACTCTTTGCCTGTTATCCATGTTTTTCTTGTTTTCTCTCAACACAGAAATTAGTACTTTTCCACCTAATTTAACACCCTGACACTTCAACAGGAATCTTAATCGATTCATTTAGTTTTTTCCTTTAAATATCACTTTTCACCAGAGTGATAAATACCAAATACAAAACTAATACTTACAGATGTACTTGCACTGCCACATTCACAAGAATTCACTGGAAAATCCCATCAAACGGACTGAACTACAGATTACCCTCTTAAAATCACACTTAGTGTGTTGGAGTTTGAACAGATGTAGAGGATGTGTCCGTCAGCACACCTCTGAGGTGTTTTGCAGGATGTCTAACATGATGTTACAGTCTCTGCTCCATAGCCTTGCAGTTGATTTATCTTAATTGTGACTGCAGTGCAACCTGGCAGATGGTTCACTAACTGGTGGGGGTTGGAGAACTGGTAGATGGCAGAAATAAATGGTAAATGGCCTGTATTTGTCTAGCGCTTTACTTAGTGCCTAAGGACCCCAAAGCGCTTTACACATCCAGTCATCCACCCATTCACACACACGTGATGGCAGCTACAATGTAGCCACAGCTGCCCTGGGGCGCACTGACAGAGGCGAGGATGCTGAGCACTAGTGCCACCGGGCTCTCTGACCCCCACCAGTAGGCAATGGGTGAAGTGTCTTGCCCAAGGACACAATGACTGAGACTGTCGGAGCTGGGGCTCGAACCGGCAACCTTCTGACACACAGTGTCTGTAAAGACAAAAAGGCAGATGCTGTGTAGATTAAAGTAATGTTACTGTCAATATGAGAAATGGTCTGTCAAATTCTATTAACAGGTCGGGGTTCGAATCCAGAACATGGTCCAGTTATTGTGACCTAGGTTCTATTATAGCCACAAGTCATTACATTTTGATAGTGAGCCATATTTATTAGAACTCAAAGTCAATCATAACGAAAGCAAATGGTAGATAAGACTCAGGGGAATGAGGCAAAAATGACAAATGAATGACCAGAAAGACAAAATGTCTTCAGACTGATGCTGACACTGCACTCTGTTGCCCACTGAGGTGGAAAACTTGGAAAATCTCCACATGTCCATGGATGAGAATAATGCCAGTCAGGGTTTCTGCTACTGGGTTTCAGAACATTTTTGAGAATATGATCTGACACCTGATGCTTACGAAGCTTACGAGTGCCAATCACAGGGAAACGGATAAAGGAAATGCTATGCATTTGTTCCGGTAAGGTTAGCATAAAGTTATGCATTAGACTCTGCCAGGCTCATGGCAGGACAACACACTGAGTCACACTGTACAAAGAAATAAAAATTCAAAATGAATACAGTTTTGTCAGCTTAAAAAAATCAGGGGCTGAGTTGTGGTGCAACACAAACTACAGTGCAGAGATGGCGCTTCAGTAAGGTCAGAGAGATATATCAGACAGTGTTTGATTTTAATTTTAGTTTTATTCATACAGCAACAAACCAAAGCAACCATTGCCTCAAGGCTCTTTATACTGTTAGGTAAAGACCCCACAGGGTTTTTACCTAACAGTTGTGGGGATAGGTTAATTGATTATTCTAAATTGCCCATAGGTGTGAATGGTTGTCTGTCTCTGTGTGTTGGCCCTGCGACAGACTGGCGACCTGTCCAGGGTGGACCCCGCCTTTCGCCCTGTGACAGCTGGGATAGGCCCCAGCGCTTCCCGTGACCCTGAAAAAGATCAGTTGAAGCGAATGGATGGATGGTAAAGACTCTGTATATACAGAGAAAACCCCAACAATTAGACAAAATGCCTATAAGCAAGCACTTGATGCTGGAAAGGAAACACTCTTTTAACAGCAAGAAATCTACAGCAGAATGTGCTTCATGGGGTTTAATGGGGGCTATAGTTGCACATGCATTCATTTCCTTACAGCTACTGTTCACAGGGAGGAGATTTTCTTTTCCATTTTTGGATAGAACTTGAAATGAACTTCCTAGAAACTTTTTGCCTGTTATTCTTGTTTTCTCTCAACACAGAAATTAGTACTATTGCACCTAATTTCACACCCTGACACTTCAACACGAATCTTAATCCCTTTTAAAAGCAAGAAATCTGCGACAGAACCAGGCTCAATCAATTTCAAGTCAGTTTTTATCTAGAAAGCCCCAAACATTCACCTCAAGGCTCTTATTATTGTAAGGTAAAGGCCCTACATGCAAAGTGGTACCGGTACATTAACGGGTGCAGCAACACAAATCAGTAAATCATATCTTCCATGATAGCCACCGCCAAGTTTATTGCAAAGTAACTGATGGAGGATTCAGGGTCACCTCATCCAACCCTAACTATTTAACAAAAGGAGCATTTTAAGCCTACCGTAATCTTAAAAGTAGAGAAGGTGTCTGTCTCCTGAATCCAAACTGCTTCCACAGAAAAGGGGTACCATTCTCCTTTTATATACTCATAAGTAAGCCTGCAGTCTCAGAGCAAAGTGCTCTAATGGGTTGATACGGTATTATAAAAGTGTTTAAGATAAGATGGGACCTGACCATGACAGCTATTGAAACCTGTAATCTCCTCATGTTTGTATATGTCCAGCTGATGGCTTTTGTCCTTACCACCTTTGCTTGTTGTAAAGTCAACATGTGATGCCTAATGTCGGTACTAATTTTGACTTTGGCTCCTGGCTAGCCATAAGATTTACACCCAGTCATACCAAGAAGGCGGCTTAAACCTAGATGTTGCAACAGACTTAGAATGACTTAAAAAGTCATGATTGGCTTAGTTTATGATCAGACCGAAACTCTATTGGTGCAATTGGCCTCTGATTACTCATCTGTGTTCCAATAGTAAGCTGACGTATTACATGCAGAAGTTTCCTTCCTTGTGTTATTTGTTTTTCATTTATTTATTTTTTGACTGTATTATTTATTTATTGTACTAATAACTGTACTAACTGTGGCAAACTGGCATAATTATGAGCAGACTAGTAACTCTATTTATTTAAAGACTTCTGTAATACCATCACAAATTCAAGTTTAAAAATAAAAACTGAAAACCACATTTCCCATAAGCCCATTATTTTCCATCCAGCCTCTCAGTCATTGGGGTTTTAATGGTCTTGAGCAACGTTGCTGGTTGGATTAACAGTGATTAAGGTTGTAGCAACACATTTAAATCAGTAAATCAGATCTTCCATGATGATGTTTAAACTTGTTTTTTTCCCCATCAGATTCTGCAGATCTTGGTGAAAGCAGTTGTTGAGAACTTGACAGACAGCCAGGGTGAGCAGGCAGGAGCCCTCCAGTCCAAACTGAAGGAGCTCCTAGGTCGGGTCAGTTCTCGCCACAGCAGTGACGCTGAGATATGGCGACAGTATGCCCTGCTGTATGGTGACGGCCACAGCTCCAACCCAGAAAACGACGACAAGGTCAGTAACATGCACTCGCATGTCTTTGTTTGTTTGTTTTTGTTGTTTTTTTTTATTCTAACAAGTCTTGGATCTGCCAGTTTCTACTTTACAACTATACAAAGGGTCAGACCAGCTCTTCATTCAAAGCATGTGATTCCAAACGGTTTGTTTCCTAACAGGTAATGCAGAAATCTGCAGGAAACAACTTCACATACAAGTTCATTTTCATCTGCCTCTTGTTTATATAAAAAACCAAAGTAAAGGCACCTAAACATTAATAAAAACTAAATGCACTTAAATCAGTGGTGTGCGGTGACTTTTACAGAAAGATAATCCTCAACACAAACATTTGTCATCATCTTAGATAAATTTGATCAAATTAAAGCATACCATTTGTTTTTCTTTCTATTAATGTACTGTCTTTAGCTTACATTATAAAACACCTTGAGGCAACTGTTGTTGTGATTTGGTGCTATATAAATTAGAGATGGCACGATACCACTTTTTTATGTCCGATACCGATATCATAAATTTGGATATCGGCCGATACCGATATGAATCAAATATAGTGTGTTTTAATCAATAAAACTGTTTTTTTAATATCTTGCTGCTTTTTGTATAAGTTTATACTCAAGTTTAAATAAACAACAACACTAAAGCTATTCTGTTATACCTGTATGCAAAACATACACTGCACCCAAAATATTTCATAGTTCAGCAATACTGATCAATCTAATAAAGTTAAACCTGCTCCATCCTCCCTATTCTGGTATTTTAAAGAGTAAGCAACCTAACCAATAGGGCTCTAAAACTCCCAGCAAAAAAATAAAAAAATAGGGAACCACCCCCCACCCCCCACCCTCCACCTCATGATGCTTAATCGACGTAATCAACTTTAATTTGATGCAGTGTGAAAAAATGCACAGAAATCAATTATTTTTCAGGAATAATTAAATAGATTCAACATCTTTCTTCAACAAAATTGCAGACTGCACAGATGGTACCTTCCCAAAGGAAAATTACTATAGCTTACTGGGGTATATTAGACTTAACAGTTACTATATACAGTAATGGACTATTATACATTTTACATCAGATTAAAACTTTGGGTGTAAGATTCGGATAATTATTTATTAAAAGCTCGACATTTTAAATGAGAATAAGAAAGAAAAGTATGTCTTTGTGCCCCTTTTCCCTGTTCATGCCCTATCGGCCCCCTGGCTAAACTTTGCTAGATCCGCCCCTGCACAGTTACCAGCCGTCAGCTGTAGAAAAGGATCCTGGTGTAGAAAGTGATATTAAATCAATTCTAACAACAGATTATCAAGCTTAAACGTGCTGCTGTTGTTCAGCCGCTGGTTTCCTCTTTCTGGTGCAAAGTGGGCGATAAACAAAGAAGAGAGACGGACTCGCGACAGAAAAGCCGATCAGCTGATCATTAATCAGTTTCACATGGAAGTAGCAGCAGGAGAGGGAGGGAGAAGAGGCAGTCACTCCATGTATCGGTTGTTAAGCTTAACGTGGAAATGCTTTACAAACATTCAGAGATGAACTTACACATTTGCTTTATTCCTCTCTGTGAGATAACTTCCTCTGAGATGAAATGCTGGTTTGGTAGCGAGGCTACAAATACACACAGCCGCTCTATCATGTGAGCACACTGCTCCGACGTGCTACGGTTATGAGCCGAGTTACGCCATGTCGCAAGTTTTTTGATGTGCTTTTTTGATATTTAATGGATCGGATTACATTTTTTATTTCTCTCCGATATCCGATCCAGTAATTTACGTCAGTATCGGACCGATACGTAATATCGGAGCGGTCCACCTCTAATATAAATACATTGTATTGAATTACATTTGTGCCTTTCAGCACTCTGCTTAGACATCTTCAGCTTTCTGCACTCCTTCCTGACTAAAGAATTGTAAATTCTTATTCTTTAAATCATATGTCAATCGTTTAATCTTTTAAGGACCACACATCTCTGGGGGGGGGGGAAAGGTTGTTGCTGAGCTCAGAAACAGGCTAAATCTTGATTTTGAAATGTACATTAATCAAAAAAATCAGCTAAATTAAAAGGCTTGAGCATTGTGTGGCGTGTATGTGCAAATCATTAGAAAAAAGCTACTGCTCTCTGTTTGTCCAGTTCCAGTCATTAACAAAGTGAGACGAACACACCCATAAATGGAGACTGCCACAGTATATATATCAGTATGAAACAAGCGCAGCTTTCAGCAACAATAGCCTGTTGTCCTTTACATTCATGCCACAAGATCAGAGTAATATAAAGGATAGATGCAGACTGGTGTGGAGCTTTTTTTTTCCTTCAATTTTTATTTATACTTAAATTTATTTTGTTTTACAAAATGAAATAATACAAAGTTCCTTGTACTAACAGAATGCCACTGACTGATGTAATATACCGCATAAAACACATTTGAACATTAAAATAACATTTACAAACCTCATATGGTGGAAAAATGTTACCATGATGGCCTCACAAGTCAAATCTGTAGTGTAATCCCTGTTGTTTAACTTTGCTGCTTGAATCATGTATTTAGTTGAGCCACACAAAGTGGCAATAGATGGCTTTGAAAACACCCGTTTGTAGGTTTGGATGCCTAATGATCCATCTGTTAACAGAAGGTCTCGTATAAATCCTCTATCCGGTTGTTCAGTCTGACGTCACTAGCCGTGTCTGGGTCTAAACTCCGCTGCAGGTCCATATATCAAACGATCACTGTGGCATTACTGAGAGTTGAAAAACTGTCTAAAGTCTTTCATCTTTAATAAAATGATCAGCGTTCTGCTCTACCAGGTGTAACAATTGAGTTTAACATCCAGGCATCCATGAAAACGGGATTTATGACATTTAACGGAGTTAGAAGTTAGCAGGGAGTTAGCTCGCTAGCTTCTATATAAATACAATATAGCATGTCCTGACTGCGGGGTTTTGGAAACAAATTAAAACGTACAGCTCTGTTATCACTTCCAGCATAAATGAAGACAGGAAACTAAACAGCAGTGATGTTTGTAGGGTTACTGAAGTTGGGCTAGCTGGTATATGATGATGTGCTACATGACCGCTAGCGACACAGCTATGTTAGCATAATATAAACAAGCTAACTTTTTTCCACTCGATAAAAGTTAACGTGAGTGTTCTCGGTGGTCAGGAACAAATGTAATCGCATGGCAGGATGCTGTTAAAGGACCAAACTTCAGCCAGGAGAACAACTGAGATAATCCATCCACAATACGAGGTTAGTCATTCATATACTGCTGCATGGGCTGGGCTGTAGTTACATCCTAAGGTTTTAAAAACTGAGCTTAAATAAATGATTAGCGGTAATAAAAGCCGAGGGAGGTCAACAGTGATCACTGACTGTTTTAGGAGCTTTTTGAGATCAAATAGAAGAAAATACATAACATTAAACATGTTAACAACACAAAAGCCATATTAAACGCAGACTACTTTAGGCCCGGAAGTAGGATTCGTCGCGTCATCACTGAACAACCGGATTCCTTGAGCACTCGAGTGAATCACCATCAATTATTCACTACTTTTGGTTTCCAACAGTCTCCTTGTTTGGAAATTTAAAACAAGTCAAGGGTAAAAGTGGGGGCTGCATTTGACTACCAGAATGGTACTGCAGCTTCTGTGTTTTGTTTTGTTTTGTTTTTCTAGGCACTGCAGTTCCTGTCCAAGGCCCATCGCTGTGAGGTTCAGGGAGGCGGTTGGGAGAAAGAACCTGCTCTCTTCAAGGAGGTGATCAAACAAGCTGTCCACATGGGAGAAGGTTAGCTCACCACCCAGCTCTGTATGCCCTCACAGCCATTTCTCAGAGGAACAGAGAAGATGAAAGGATGGCAATGAGATGGAAAAGCGATATCTGATTACAGTTTAGATGATAATCTCCTCAAACCTTTGATGTTTTCATTACAGTAAGACAGATTCATAGAGTTAAACACTGGAGAGGCAATCAGAAGTGACTTTGAAAAAATAATAATAATGCTGTGAGGTATTAAATGTGTTTGCATTCTCCATCAGTTTATCCTTCCTCCCTCAACTAATGTTAGCCATGTTCCTGGGTGTGATGTTTGGGTTCTTTAAAACACAATTCAAATCCCTTCACTTTTAAATACTTTAGATACTTTTAAATACTTGTGTGTTAGATTTGATTGTCAGTGAATAAGACTGGATTTTTGTACATGTCTACATTAGTTTAGTTAATATTTGTATTCAGTATAATAATAGTAACGATCAATGCCTCATGCTACATATAGTCTGTGGGTTTTTTTGTATGCTGTCTGTGATGCAGCATTATAGAGGTACTTCTGATCATCTGATTCTACCAGGATCACAGTACCATCTGCTCATCTGCAAGCTCTCTTCAAACCAATGTTCAAACCAAAATTCTCCCATATCACCCCTGTGTTAAAATCCTTGCACTGGCTTCCGGTTGAGTATAGATATCAGTTTAAAATCCTCACTTTTACATTCATGTCCCTACAAGGTGAGGCCCCCACTTATATCACTGAGCTTCTCCAACCCTACTCTCCAAACCAGATCCTTAGATCCACTGATTCGTTTGAAAACAAAGGGGGATCCCGCTTTTCAAACCTTGGCTCGAATATTATGGAACAGTTTACCTCCCCCCCTACGCACCATCAACTCTGTAGCTACTTTTAAAAAACAACTCAAAACACATCTGTTTAGACAGGCATTTAGGTAATATTCATGTGTAGTGTACTGTTTTAGTGGATATGCTATTATACCCTCTTTATAGTGTTTTATTTTTCGTTTGGTTTGCTTTTATTCCCTTGTGAAGCACTTTGAAATAACTTCCTGTTTTAAAAAGTGCTGTATAAATAAATTTTACTTACAATGTTTTATTATCTGAAAGAGGAACCATTACATCCTCTAAGATAAAAACAGCAAATGAATTATTCCAAATACCAAAAGGGTAAATTATACATGCAGTGCATCTGGAAAGTATCCACAACACTTGTTCCACATTTTGTCACGTTACACCCTTATTTCAAAATGGAAATACGTTCAGTTTTAATTCACGTACACAATATTGCGGGATTGGTGACTTTTTACTTAGAGTGCTTTTAGTTTTTGGGGTGCTGTGCAGCCTGATATAGGGAGAGCCTGATCAGACCCAGCTGCCCTGCTAGGCTTCCTGGCACTGCCCCACCCAGCCACAACGAGTGAACTCTTTGGCCTAAATGCAAAGTGTCCTCTCTCAAGGAAATTGGGCTCATCATCTGGCCAATACCATCGCTGGCACACATCCACATGCTGTGAGGATGTGAGATCAAGGGAAAAATGAATGCAGTCATGTACAGAGAGCCTTGATGATAACCTGCTCCAGAGTGCTCACTAGGCCGGACTTGACCGAAGGTTTATATGCCAAGAGCACACAGCCAAGATAACAGTGGAGTGGCTTCAGGACCAGAGCCCCGACCCAAGTGATCATATCTGGAGCGATCTGAAAATGGCTGTGCAATGACGCTCTGCATCTAACCTGATGCAGCTCGAGAGGTTCTGCAAAGAAGAATGGAAGAACCTGTTCAAAAATAGTTAGACTTGAGGCTTTAACATGCAACATTTGGAGTTAGGCTGTATAGCTTCTGCTTAAACACAAAAACATCTGGTTGATAAAACAAGTAAAGTGCTGAGAATACTTTTGTGATGTATTGGGTAAGCGTTCAGGGTCACCTGATCTATTCCTGCCAATAACCTTTAAAAAAATGTAAGCGCCCAGTTTGTCTCCCAAATACAAACTGGGCGCTGGTTCCACAGAGAAACTTGAAGCCTCTACCTCCCATTCTACTGTTAACCCTAAAACACTAATGTCAGGTGATTTTCACCCACGTAAAACTGATAGTGTTACAAAACTCCACATTAATATAGTTTTTTGCTCTCACAAGTAAACTGAGAGTAAAGTGTTGTATTGAGGTGATGTGGTAGTATGAGTTCTAAGTAAGATGGGGCCTGTTACTTCATGTAGTATTGGCAGTTGGGCATGGAGGAGCAGATCTTTGTCATGAGCTTCTCTTTTAGGTGGAGAAGCATTCAGTGCGTTCGATGCATTACCTGTCCTTTGGGATTGATACCTAATCTCACAGTTGGACATGCTGGTATCTCCCCCTGACCTGATTTAAAATCTGTGAAATTAAAAAAAACACTCAATGATGTAAAAACTTTAAATTTCAAGGAAAACCCCCTGAAATTGGCTAGCATAAATTCTTATAGTGTCCACTAATGGAAAAGGGGTGGAACAATTACTGTTAAATGAAAGCGTCCAAACTGAACCACTGAACAACAGCAGCTTTAATCAGGGAGGTGATCAAGAGTTTTATCAACCAGACACTTTTATGTTTAAGCGGAAGCTATACAGCCTAAGTCCAAGTACACATTGTTTAATAGTGTTTGAGTACAGAAAATGGCTTCTGGGACACTTAAAAATTACAAAACATTTTGGGAAAGCTACAAACATCAGCCACACTTGAATCTAGGATTCCATCCATCTATCTTCTTCCACTATCCATGGCCAGGTCGCAGGGGCAGCAACCTAAGCAGAGTGGTTCTGCTCTGAGCCCCTAATTCCTCACCCTATCACTAAGGGAGAGGCCAGACACCCTTCGGACAAAGCCCATTTCCACCGCTTGTATCCACGATCACGTTCTTTCAGTCACGGCTCGTGGGCATATGTGATGGTAGGGATGTCGATCGACTAGTAAATTGAGATCTTCGCTTTTACACTAAGCGCTCTCTTCCCCAAACTGGACCAGTACAACATCCGCATCACTGCAGCCGCAGCACCAATTCGTCTGTTCCCGTCACTCGTCAACAAGACCCCAAGATATTTAAATTGCTCCACTTGGGGCAGGAACTCGTCTCTGACCCGGGGTGGGGAATCCATCGTTTTCCAGCTGAGGACCATGGCCTCAGATTTGGGGAATCCTAGCAGTGGGAATGAGAATCAGCACCTCCAAAGTACTAAAAGGTTAGGAGTTGATTATATACACACTCTATGAAATACTCAAATAGAGGTAAACATTCGCCAAAAAATGAGCTGGACACTGTCATACAGTAGAAATGCCCAATCAATCTGAAATGGAGAATAACTCGAGTGTTACCATCTGTAGGATTAGATTTTGATTTTGTTTAAAGACAGAAGAATAAATGGAGAGGGCTTAGAGAAAAGATAGCAAAATAGTACTTCCTAGTGAGTTTAGAAAATGTGTTGCTGTTACTCGACTACAGGTCTTGGTTGAACTCTTTCTAATCCCTTTAATCTCCTCCTAATCCCCTCCATGTTGGGGGCATACTTGTGGGTTGAAAAATGGTCCAAACACCCTCCAGTGATACAGCTCACACAAGCAATGAAATGCAACACTTTTGAGGGTTTTGGAAGACACCTTTAGGATTCCTATATTTGATATTTGCGCTTGTGCACGGTTGTCCCAAAGAATTAACTACCATGGTAATAAATCTGATTTCTGACTTTCTAAATGCTGCTTCTGCAGATGCAGAAGCTTTTCCCTGCATTCTCTAAGTCTCTCTTTCTCTGCATCACAGTGGCACTCAGTTGCAGTGTGAAGAAGAGTAATCCAGCAGAAGCTCTTCAGATACTCTCCTCTACACGCCTCAGTCTCAGGAGTCTGGCCACCAAAGCCAAGGTAACATTAAGAGACCCCCACTTAGCACGAAGCAGATATCTGCCTCACTTTATAGACAGTTTTCCTGATCAGGAACTAGGAGGAGGATTGAGTTTAGCCTGTCCTACTGTGTGTGTTCTTACTGTAGCAATTGCTCCTATAGGACCTCTTTCAGTGATGTTTTCGGGTTGTTCCTACTGCTTGTCAAGTACTTCTGACCTGCCCTGAAAAATTAAACACTAAACCTTGTTTGCACCTATTTTGCATTTCCCTTTGTTTACGGACATTTAATGTATGTTGTATACCAACGCTGATATTAAAAGATAAGTACATTTTCATACCATCCATATAAGTAAAAGCTTAGGTTTAGGAGTGCTATGATCACTGATTCATTTTCTTTCTGTTCTTGGCTCTCCATGATATTAGTAAGAATGGGCATCCTTATATGGTCATTTTAGGTGTACAGCTTTGGCTATGAGCAAGAAAGCCACACCTTCCTGCCTCACTTCACCATGGGCAGCCAATCAGAAGAAAAGTTGGCTTGAAGAAATGCAGACCTTAAAGGGGGCAAGACTAAATTACTTTCATCAGACACAGGGTGAAGTCAATGGTTGCATCAAGGCCTAGTATAAGATAAATAAGGATTATTTTAAACTGCAAAATAACAATAAGGTATCTGGAACCTCTTTAGCTCGTGGTCTTCACTCAGTAAGTGATGACGGCAGCACATGCTCATGCAGATGTTGTCAGCATGCAGCCTGACACAAAGTCTTTACCAGGTTGTGACACCATTCAAAGCATCTGTTCTGCCTGAACAAACTCCTCCAGCAGGCGATCAAGACAAATGTCAGACGTGAAGATTTAGACACAGGCGTTTGGGTTGTTAAGTCGTTCTTCTCAGTGGTATAAGTTAACATTAATGACTTTATACTTGACTCTTCCATTGTATATCGTCTTCCAGCAAATCCACACAGACGTGGCCACAGGGAGGATCCATGCTGAGCTGCAGGACGGCGTTACTGCTGTGGAGCAAGTCATCACCGAGCTGCAAGATCTGAGTGGGAAGCTGCGTAACCAGTCACAGTGACCATCCATCTCTAATATGCCCCTTTTGTGGCAAAAGAGACAACCTTTGGTTCTCAGGGGTCCTCAGTAAGACTGAGTAATAAAGACCCAAACCAGCTCTACACCTGCATTTATCATCACAGTGTATTACTGAACCTGTTAAATAAAGCAAGCCAAAGGACTGAATTTGTAATCCTATTTTCATACCTTTATGTCCACTTTGAAATGTAAACACTCACTGGGTGGCATCTTAAAATACAGTGTTAAAAATTTGAATGCTTGCTTTGATTTTTTGTTGTTGAAAATGAAGTGATAAAATCACCTTTATCTGTGATAAAGTGATCAGTTGACAGATTTTGAAGCTGCATCCATACAGAATAGGCTCTCGGGACAGGATGCAGCTTTAGGTCATCTGTATCTGTAAATATTTAGATCCCTCTCTCATCCACTGAAGAGACACATGTAAATGTAGTAAAAGAAATAGACCTAGATTGTAAAAATGTGATTGATACAGTAGGTTACTGTACCCATTGTGGTAATTTCTGCAGAACAGAACATGGAAGAAAAATCGAGCCTCTATTCCAACTTCTTTGTCGGACATATTTCAAAATGCATACTCTAAAAATATTAAATCTAGGCTCTTTCGTTTTTTTTATACCCATTTAGTTCAGTTTCATTGTACTTATACCCACTATCAGCAAGCACTGGGACACACGACAGTGGGAAAGAAAAACTCCCTTTTAACAGGAAGAAACCTCCAGCAGAACCAGCCTCAGGGAGGGATGGCCGTCCACCACGACCAGTTTGGGTGAGGGGAGGAAGACAGGGAAGAGAGCCAGAGATTAATAACAAGTGACGATTCAGTGCAGAGAGGTCTATTAACACACAGTGAGTGAGAAAGGTGACTGATTCCCCAGCAGGCTACACCTATTGCAGCATAAATAAGGAAGGATTCAGGGTCTCCTGATCCAGCCCTACCTCATCTGAAGTAAATCCGCAGTTCGAGAGGGAAGTGCACTAATGGGGTGATATGATACTATAAGGTCATTAAGATAAGATGGGGGCTGGTTATTCAAGACCTTGTATGTGAGGAGCAGGATTTTGAATAAATGAAGGGAAGCCAATATAGCTCTATTTGTGCTAAAATAATTTTATAGTCAACTAGGAAATGGCACTGATCTTAACCAGCCTGGAATAAACAAACGGATGTATTGGTGTTTGTCTTGTCTTCCCCTTTCAGCCAATAACACATGTATGTATCCAAATAGTTGCTAAGACTAGATTTGTATGAGGTAGTTGTGTGCTATTTTATAAACTGCCACTAGCTTAACAACTTGCATACATAAACTTTACATGCTAGTTGGTAAATGGAAAATAGACTGGTTATATAGCGCTTTTCTACTCGAGCACTCAAAGCGCTTTATACAATAGTAACTAACAGATTAGTAAAGTACTATAAATGTACACATCAAAGCTGAAGTCAAATTATTTTCTATAGATTTACATTAAAGAAATGATCCAAAAGGCACAACAGTAGCACAACAGTACAGTGACTCATATTAAGAAAGGCGAGGCTGCTATTAAGGTGCTTATGTCAGCAACAAAGTGATAGATACATAAATGGCAGCAATTAAAAAAACATCCAAGCAGAATGTTTTATTATATCGGAGTTGTTTTGATATTGTAGCTGCAGTGTAAGTTCTTTCTAGAATAACTCAAAATGATTGACTTTTTCCGTCCTTCATGAATATTTAAATGAAATTCCTAACACCAAGTCTTATCTCTTAAAGAATTGGTTGCATAAAGAAGAATTGTATACTAGAGAAGCAGACTTACCTTTCCCTTTAATCTCCTAACTACCTAAGTTTAGTACTCAGCTCTCGAACACCACCTCCACTCATTGTGTTCTCACTAATAAAAAGGCTATTAAAAACCATGAGCCATGCTCTGATGCTCTGCGAGATCATTTCCCAACTCATCCGACATGGTGAGCACACACACACGCATCCCATTGCCCTGCAGTTCATACAGGGAGGAGACCACCATTTGTTTCCTCAACTAGAAGGAAAATGACCTTGACATTGCTCAGGTTTTTTATCTCCCTTCTTTTTTCACTGTATTGGAGCTCGTGTTTTATTTTTCTCTGCCCATTTGTCACAAGAGCCAGAACCTCTGTTTTGAAAGTATTACCACAGCGATACCCATACGGAAAAGAAATAGTAAAAACTTATATGTGATATAAATCATCATATAAGGCTTACATGATTTACTCATGAAAGTGGCCACTTTCTCATTACTTTCATACATTGTTTTAGTAAGTATCCAAAACATACAAGTTTCATTATATAATTTTCAAGGGATCTTATATCTGTTTTCACTTTATATGCTTTTCATACAAGTTTCACACAAGACAGATACAAACTTTATAAGATTTATATATATCTTTTCCATATGGGTAAGGACTTAAAGGCCCCTATAAATGGATGATCTCGCATGAGGGAGTGGAGCACTGTGACAATGTAAAATGTTGATGATTGCACTTTGACAGTTGTCTTCATGGTAAATTCTCTGAGCTAATATTCATGTTTGAATCCACATTTCCAGCCTCACTCCAGTTATTAAATAAAAATGGCAAGAAGAAATGACCTATTTTAGGCTCTGGATCATCATTCATGACCACATTATATCACACCCACAGGATCTCTCAGCACTGGTGACTAATCTTCCTAATATGATTGTAAATTTACCAAATGCTATTATTAGATAAAGTCCACAAGAGTGATTTGCTGCTGTTCTGTCATCACCCAGAGGACAGCTTTGATAAAAGAAAACACAAGTTTGATTGTTTCGTGCCAGACTTACGCTCCCAGAATTCCTGGTATTTCTCAGCAGGGGCTGCAAAGCTGATGTCAGCATTCACAAAACTCCCATTACCTCACACTTTAGTTCATGCGGCAGGGATTTTATTTCAGTTGGACAAAATCTCTTCTCAAAAGAAGCAACAACAAAATCTGTCACTTGCACTTGAAAAACAAATGTTTACAGCATCCCAGAAGGTATTGTTTTCTTGAAATTGTGTAAATCAACTGGTTCTTATATGGTGTTTCTCTACTAAATATTAAATTGCAATTTGATCCAGTGTAGTGATATTATTGTTCTGTGTCTTTTGTATCATGTTTGATTAATAATTCAGAAAAGTTCTAAAACTTTTTTGTACAGAACCCTTCATTCAAGCTAGTGCAGTTCGAATTGCTTCACTAATTATTAAACAAGCTGATAACTGAAAAGAACAGATGTTTAAAAAAGCAATACATTCATAAATTCAAAGCAATATAAAGTAGATAAAATTAATAGAATTAAATAGTTGCATTATAAGCAGTTTAGAATTACAGTAGCATTCAATTCAATTTTATTTATGCAGCACCAAATCACAACAACAGTCGCTTCAAGGCACTTTATATTGTAAGGTAGACCCTACAATAATACATGCAGAGAAAAACCCAACAGTCATATGACCCCCTGTGACCAAGCACTTTGGCGACAGCGGGGAGGAAAAACTCCCTTTTAACAGGAAGGCAGAACCAGGCTCAGGGAGGGGCGGGGCCATCTGCCACAACCAGTTGGGGAGAGAGAAGGAAGACAGGATAAAGACGTGCTGTGGAACAGAGACAGAGATTAATAACAGATATGATTCAATCATAACGTTTAACTGTTTTTGTAGAGAAGGTCATCAGGCTTTTTATTCTTCTCCTATGTGATTATATGATACCCCCATCATATATATATATATATACACACACACACACACACACACACACACACACACACACACACACACACACACACACATATATAAATATATATATATACACACAGATACATACACACATATAAGATACACAAGTTTCACATATGTGAAATTTAACAAAACTTCCCCTGAATCAACTTAATTAACAAAACTCAACAACACATGGATTTGGTAACACAGCTCACCTCTCGTGAATCAAGCAGAGACTTTAAATAGAGCTATCAATTTCCCTTCAGTTAGTCTAGCCAGTACCACTAGCTAGAATTTAAAACTCAACACAACTGAATGAATTACCTAAAGCTCCCCACTCTTCTGATTAACACATTTACGCAACTAAATGGCTCTATATAAGAAAAAATATTTTGCAAATCCCTTTGTATCCTTTTTTTTTTTCCTGTCCCGTTTGGTTCTTTTGCCATCAGAATTATTTTCTAAAGGCAAAGAAAGATGCCCAACAGATTTACAGCCTTGCCGTATTGGTCTATTTGATTCACCTTTGCTTTTATTGTTTATTTTATTTTAGTTTCACTTGCTACACACGGGACAGACATGACTGGGGGAAAGAAAAGGGGGAAAGAAAGAGAGGTATAGGGAAAGAAAAACAGCGGGGAAGAGGAACGGTGGTAAAAACAAGCAAAAAAAAAAAGCAATATAATAAACAACATCATCGCGATGATCTATGTGAATATAAAAGTAAATACTAAATATTGTATATTATTGTGCAGCACGTAGAATCGACGGCGCACAGTGTGCTTTGAGGTAGGAGCCAAAAAGGGTGTAGTTTGTGTCTGTGAGCACCTGTGTGTACACCTGTGAGCATGGACACGCTTGTTTTTAAAAGGTTCCTACATGTATCTGCTAGAGTTGTGGGGAGCCATAGCCCCGTCCTCCAGGGCATGAATGCTCAGATGAAGGAGATCCAGGCTCCAGCATTTGCTTTAATTTGCTGAATGTTTGTTTTGCCAGCAACAGGAGGCTTACACAAACAAAGCCGGGATAGTAAGTGCAGCAATGTTAATTTGACAATAGCAAATGATAGCAAATAAAAAGACAGAGAGAATAATGTGCATAATGTGCAAAAAGTCAGCACTTCTGGACAAGTGGAGAGTATTACAACTGCTCATCCACTTTGTCACAGGCTAAAAGGTTGATATATAAACACAACAATTTGTCATGTGTCAGCAGTATCCCCATAAGGCATATAACAGCCCTACACACCAATGCATGATAGTTTAATCACAATATATTAAATTGTGATTAAATTACAATATATTTATAATTTAATCACATTAGCTCAACAGTGTCACCAAAATAAGCCACATACTTGAGATAACCTGCTCAGCATCACATAAATCACATTTTCAACAAAGGTTAGCGGGAAGACACAGTTAACTTGATTGATTGTAAACCTATGTTTTAATTAAAAGGTTGTAATATTGATGGTTGTTAACTTCAGTTATCCAACCAG